TTCAAAAGTTGTATTAAGAGGTTAATGTTTAATACAAATGTTTACTGTTGTTTGTTTGTTTTTTTACAGAGAAAGATAAAACTCAATGATCTACATAGAGATAAAAAAAAAGTAACTGGAATTTGTTTCCTTACACTGTGCAGTTTTATAGTTGGACTATAAAAACACTTACAATAAATGGCAGAAAGTTTAATATATAAAACGAAGAATCAATCCTTTGATCAAAGTAAAAGTGGGAAAGGCTTTTCTGTAAATCTCCTGGCTAAGAGTTTACCAGTTCAACCTAAAGCTACGAAGACAAAAGAAACTGTCCGTTCTTTCGCGCCATGAACATGACGATAGTATCTCGGACTTTTATGGAGACTTGGATGATGTTTTTGACGAAACTGAAGTCACAAAAACACGAGAACAAACGAGGGAATCCCGATCTGTTAGTTTTGCTTGAACCGCGGGAAAACAAACGTTTATCAAACTTGCCAGATTTTTTAGAATTTTCAAATGAAAACAAAGACAGTAAAAATACAAGTTTCACGAAAGATAAAAATGAAAGCTTAATGAATCGTGATGACAGTAACTCAAAAGGGGATATAACTGTTAAAAACAATCTTTATACAACAACGAACGCTCATAAGCCCTTATTACAGCCCTTGGATAAATACGACCATGACCGTGTGTCTCTAAGAGAACGCGACTCGCTAAACCCACCGTCCACACTGCGATTACGAAACCCACATTCTTCTTTGGGACGGCAGTGTGAAGGCTCAAAGTAAGAATGCCAAGAAGAAAAGAAAAAACGAACTCTCTGGCAGCGAAGATGTTACCCAGTGTTGCACATCAAAAACCAGCTTTTGAAAATAATAAGCACCTCCCGTTTTTAAACCAATTCTTTTCTCAGACGCTCGGTTTCTGGTAAAAGTAAAGTTCCTAGCATTGGCGTTAAATGGACCGTACCGCCTGCAAGTGAACACGTCAATACCGCAGCAAATAAATCCTCAAAATATGGTTGGCTGGAAGCACAATATATGAAAAACTACACCACTGGTACGAACTATCAAACTTTACAAGATCCTAAGTCTCGACTTTCTCACGATATTCACCCAGTGTCGACCGCCATGGGGCGCCAGGGTATCAGCGTTTCTCAAGTAAAATGGCGGGTGCCGAGCTGCAAGGCGAGGGCTGTTGATGTCACGAGGTCGGTGATGCAGCGGCTAGAGCTCATCAAAAGACCAGGCAGCCATTTGCTCTTCGACCATGACCATGTTCAGATGATTCACTGAAATAAATGACACAATGTGCAGGGTGTCGCGTTTCGTTGAGACAGGCGTAGCTAGGGGAGGACGGATGGGGTGCCAAACGAGGGAGAATTTTTTTTTATTACTAGCTCATTCTGAGCCGCATTACTATATTATTGATAGTTGATATTAAGAATATGGACAGTTTCTTCGTTTTACGAACTTATTTAACTTTTTTTTTTTTACATCAATTGTGACATAAAAATACAAATTGTTAATGGACACTGACTGGTAAAAAGCGCTTCCAACATTTCCAAAAGGGGGGGGGGCTTTCGGCAACACGTAAAGCCTATTTAAATGGGATTGGGGGGGGGGGGTCATCCTTAAATGACGATTTCTACCCCCCTTCCCCTCCCCTCTGTCACATATCGTCACAAAAAGCCAGACCCCCCCCCCCTAAAATGACGTCACACCTCAACCTACAACCCCCTCAAAATTGCAGTTGAATTTTTTTTTAACATCGATATTTTTTCCAAAATGTTGTCTAAACTATTACAATTTATCAAAACAGTTATCTAAAACGCGAAATAACGTCTAAAATTCGTTTTCTAACATTGCTTTTTTATAATGCAAAAGTGTGACGTTGCAACATCTATACCCCCCCCCCCTCCCCCTCATCACACATCGTCACAAAATTACGGACCCCCCCTCCCCCCTAAAAAGTGTGACGTCATTTATGGATGGACCCCTTGTATGGGGGGGGGGGCGCAAAATTGATAGTTCATCCGAAATGGGGTCGCTACGCCTGTGTTGAGAACATGTCTACATTTTTCATCTTTAACCCCATCAATACGTCAGTCCACTTAGATGCGACACCCAGGCCTAGTGCTATCGGGTGCGATATCAACTCATGGTGTCACCCCCCCCCCCCGCCCACCACTTAGATGCGACACCCAGGCCTAGTGCTATCGGGTGTGATATCAACTCATGGTGTCACCCCCCCCCCCCGCCCACCACTTAGATGCGACACCCAGGCCTAGTGCTATCGGGTGTGATATCAACTCTTGGTGTCACCCCCCCCCCGCCCACCACTTAGATGCGACACCCAGGCCTAGTGCTATCGGGTGTGATATCAACTCTTGGTGTCACCCCCCCCCCCCCCACCCACCACTTAGATGCGACACCCGGGCCTAGTGCTATCGGGTGTGATATCAACTCTTGGTGTCACCCCCCGCCCACCACTTAGATGCGACACCAGGGCTTAGTGCTATCGGGTGTGATATCAACTCTTGGTGTCACCCCCCCCCCCACCCACCACTTAGATGCGACACCCAGGCCTAGTGCTATCGGGTGTGATATCAACTCTTGGTGTCACCCCCCCCCCCCCCCCGCCCACCACTTAGATGCGACACCCAGGCCTAGTGCTATCGGGTGTGATATCAACTCTTGGTGTCACCCCCCCCCCCCACCCACCACTTAGATGCGACACCCAGGCCTAGTGCTATCGGGTGTGATATCAACTCTTGGTGTCACCCCCCCCCCCCGCCCACCACTTAGATGCGACACCCAGGCCTAGTGCTATCGGGTGTGATATCAACTCTTGGTGTCACCCCCCCCCCCCCGCCCACCACTTAGATGCGACACCCGGGCCTAGTGCTATCGGGTGTGATATCAACTCTTGGTGTCACCCCCCCCCCGCCCACCACTTAGATGCGACACCCAGGCCTAGTGCTATCGGGTGTGATATCAACTCTTGGTGTCACCCCCCCCCCCCGCCCACCACTTAGATGCGACACCCAGGCCTAGTGCTATCGGGTGTGATATCAACTCTTGGTGTCACCCCCCCCCCCCCCCCCCGCCCACCACTTAGATGCGACACCCGGGCCTAGTGCTATCGGGTGTGATATCAACTCTTGGTGTTACCCCCCCCCCCCCCCGCCCACCACTTAGATGCGACACCCGGGCCTAGTGCTATCGGGTGTGATATCAACTCTTGGTGTCACCCCCCCCCCCCCCGCCCACCACTTGGATGCGACACCCAGGCCTAGAGCTATCGGGTGTGATATCAGCTCATGGTGTCACCCCCCCCCCCGCCCACCACTTGGATGCGACACCCAGGCCCAGTGCTATCGGGTGTGATATCAACTCATGGTGTCACCCCGCCGCCCGCCAGTAGGATGACACTTAGTGACTAATCTAGCTACACAAAGTATTGTGATTCTATTGTTTTTACTAACACACTTGACTAAACAATCCATTACATTTCTAATCATTTCCCATTTACATTCTTGACGACCAGCCATGCATCTTGAGTACTGGTACCGCATAACCGCAGTGTATCTTCCAGACTTTTTTCTCCGGGGGGGGGGGGGGGGGGCACTTGAAATTTTCGGGGGGGGGGGGAGGGGTAGACTTTCTTCGGGGGGGGGGGGGGGGGGCCGCGGCCACTGTTAAAAGTATATATTTTTTATTATATTAATTTCATTTCGTTGGGGGGGGGGGTAGAATTTTCTTGTGGAGGGGGGGGGGGGGGGGCAAAGCCCGAAGAGATGCCTGGAAGAAACTCTGCATAACCGTTCTCAAACTCATATAGACTATATATATATATATATATATATATATGTGCTAGGTTTATATGTATAGATAAATATTGATGATACCTTCCAAACATAATCTTTGATACCATTCAAACATAATCTTCAAGTGAGCCATGCACCTAAAAGTTAAAGAAACTTGTTGCTACAAAGAAAATGATAAAATGGTTGTGCTACTTCATCTTTTTAATTTCCTCAGTACAGTGTTAAACAAAACTTGAGTGTGTGTTGGTTGTTTTTTTTATGAACACTAGTACCTACACTGTACATCAATCGCTTGTGTACATGAATGGTCTTTGCTCTTGATATTATGTAGATACATTATAATATGAAATTTTGTGCTTTGATTTATAAACAAAATATATTTCTATGTCCTAAGTGAAATATACTGAAGTCAGAACTGACTTCTGAACAGGAAAATAGTTGTTTTTTTTTCATATTCTACATATTTTTGTTGTTAATTTACAAGATCATGTTCCACAAGGTAACACTGGTTATGGAATGTTATGTCCAATGGTGCACATAGATTATTGTAATAGGGGGATAAAAATATTGTTCCTTTTACATTAAATATATATATATATATATATATAAAACACCTAGAATTGTTTTATACTTTATATGTAGATGGGTCTTTTCAAGGAACAAAGGCCAACACATTTAACAATTTTAAGAATGTACAATTTTGGTTGACATTCAAAGTCCGGAAATTGTAAGAGAGGGGCATAAGCAATATAATTATTTAACTAAGAAGTATTTATATATAAAAAAAGTAAAGCATTCTCATTAGACCTGGCAATTATTAATTGGGCAGATGATGCTGAGTTCATGGTTTTTTTTACCTCTACATATGAAGGGAAGGTGTGGTCAGTACTTTGCTCAGCCGCCTTTACTTTCACTAATATGAGTTAGGTACTCGTCGGAGCTGAGTGGTCTCAGGGACGTTTTACTGACCTAAATCTGGATTTGAATCAGGACTTCCGGGTAAGCAGCCTAGCGCTCTACAGCTTTGGCAACGCACTACTTATATTCAAAGTTTTTCTTTGGGTTCATGTAGAGGGGTTATACCCCCCCCAATTATCGATTTAGTTCTGCAACACTAAATTATAATTTTAGAAAGAATAACTAATAACACAGGAATATGAATATAAAATAATTGAAAAAAAAAACACTTCATAAGAGACCATTTATTACAACAGATCTTTATACACAAATGGACTTTTAAAACCATACATCATTCTTTTAAAACATTTTTTTTTCAAACTATGTGATTCCATCTTTTCATTCCATGACAAACAATGGTGATATAGAGATTGATCATGCTTCTATCATACAATACATCAGCATTTGCGCCTCAATTCATTTGATTGTAGTTTTATACAAATTTACAACCTCAAGACAATGTTGTTATGTTTTTCAACTGACTCAACATACAACTGTTACCTTGATGTAGTTTTTTTTTTTAATATATATCAAACTTGAACATGTAAAAATCAAATAAGTGAATTGTAATATTTTTTTTTAAAGTTTAATATAAAGCCATATTTCACAAAGCCTTGGTCATCTTTAGCATAAACTAATAAGAACTAAACAAATTAAAATGCTATAAATTTATTAAATATGATACATCATTATCGTAGCTATTAATCCTCTCATTACATCACTACAGGAGATCAGAGATATATTTGGTCCATGGTAAATCTAAATTATAATAATTTATAACCTATCTCATCTACTATTTTGTTACTGCAAGTCTTTTAACGTTAACATTTAAGTAGGTATATTTAACTGCAAGAGCCATAAAAATCTACTTTACACATTTTTTTCCCATACCTAATGTAATAGAAATATTTTTTTTTTAATTAATTGCCTTGTAAATTTAACCAACAGTATTATAACACGACAGCAGAAAACTACCAAAATAATGAATAAGGCAATAGCTCTGTTTGGATTTCAAGAAAGAATTTTAAACTAAAGCAATAAGTCTAGTTATATTTCTATTAAAAAGTGTACATCAAAATAAGGTTAGGAAACAATACTGATCAAGGCCATACAGAAAAAAAAGTAATACTAAACAGTGATTAGCTTCACAAATTTGTTTCTTACAGTTAACGGAGAATGAAACAGAATCGCACAGCCAGCTACTTGTATGCAGCTTAAACCATAATATTCATTCTTTATTTAAACTGAATTATGTTGTTCTACCCTTGGTCTATCAAGTGCATTATTTACTAGAAGATAAAAATCTAATGTAGCATCATAAAGCAAAGAAGCTTTGCCATAGGACTAACAATATCACTCAGTATTAAAACAAACTAATGCATTGGTACAATAAAGAAGAAAATAAAAAATAAAAACTACTCCAACACTTCCAAATCATTTTGTTTAGGTGGTTTGCAAGCTTTCTGGTACATATTGGGTTAAGACAAGAAGTTAAATAAGAAAAAAAAAACAATGCACACGTTTGAAAATTTTGCAATGTTGGAAACTTGTATTTAATTTCAGAATAAAAAACAGCATTGGCAACAATATTGTGATACAACCTTACATTCACACAGGCATTTTTTAAACATAATCTAGATAAAACCAGCAGTTTAGAAAATGATTTTTTTTAAATGAAAAATCTAAGAAAGAATATTCCAAGCTTGCATTTTGTAATTGCTGGTAATTATTTTGGAAGTCACAAGATTAACACATTTTCTTTGAGTTGAAAGGTAAGCAACATAACAATGATGCTTACCTTTACTAAAAGGTAGACAGCTTTAAAAACTGTATGCTTTGAGAGTATCAATTTTTTTTAAAAACATTTGGCACATCTACACAACTTCCTTAACTGCATAACCAAGCTTTTAAAAATGTATTTTCCAAAACAGTGTTTTATCACATCACTCCAACATACATTTGCATATAGCCATGAACATCAAGAAACAATAATAGTCTTTGAGAGAAAATAAGACTACTGTTAATGGAGATTAGACAGAAATGTTAATCATTCAAACTACTTTCACATATGCTTATATTTACAGCTAACACCATGGTCTAAAATTAGCTTCAGTGGAAGTTAACACCTTGATTTACTTTGTTGTGTGTGTGTGTGTCACTTACACTGAAAATATATGCTGCCATAAAAAAAAAACCTTTCATAATTTAAAAAAATAACTAGCTAATTCTACAGATACTATACACAAAATTTCCAATCTTTATGCACATTTTTTTAATAGATAAACTCTACTATTTCCAATTTGGTTCAAAAGGTGTAAACAAACTACTAGCTGTTGACATTCTATAGTACAAATTTTAACTTGATGACATTTTACAACAAAAAATTATTTTATCCTTTTACGGCAAAAAATCTACTTCTAGCATTGAACTAGACTTAACAAATCCGACAACTATTTTATTCAGCTGCAATTTTTGTCATCTAAAAACAAAAAAATAATTGTCAATTTTCTTTTAATTAAATTAACTTACCTTAAATAACATAGTGCTCATTACTTTAAATGTTTTATTACTACAACCACAAAAAATACTTAAATCACACTTCCTGAAACTAAACAATTTCAGATGTGCCCTACATTGTAACTTCAAGTTAAGGTATACAATGGATATGTCCACTAACAGTAACAAATGGTTTTCTTAAGGTGAAATTATAATACCATTAACAATAACTATTTGAATAAATAAACTTTAAATTTTTACAACTAAATAGAACTCTTTTTTAAAAAAAAAAACAGCACAGCAAAATTAAGGCAACTATATAAAATTTTGACCTATCATTATGACAAAGATGAAACATCACTACAAACAACAGTAAAGATTTATTATGAATAAATCAATCCCTGAATATTTTTTTTTGTTTGTTTTCAAATTCTCAATAATTAAACACTTTCAGCATGGTCTATTTACAAGCTTTTTTTTTTATACTTTAAGTGTCATACAATAATTTTTAAAAACAAAATGAAAAAGGCAGTAATAATATTTGCTTTACAAACTGTCAAAACATACCCCTAGCATGGCAGCTAGTTTAATAGGAAATAAGGTTGTAACAGTTCACTGGACACATGTGGAACACACTGATTTGTATGTAGATTAAAAATTAGCATGACACGATCCAAACCTAAGTTGGCTGTCATCTGGGTAGAAATAATGAATTTTTAAAAAGTTTTATGAACATAATGACTCATTGATACAGCAATTAGTTCAGCATGTTAATGTTATGTTCCAACTCTTGGACGCTTCGGAGATGGAGCTATCACATCCTCCTCTTCTTCCTCCTCCTCTTCTTCTGAATCTTCATCAGGGTAATCCACTAAACCCTTCAGTCCTGGCTAGAAAAAATTTTTGAATTTGTTAAATTTGTATACAGCATTAAGTTAAAACTAAGTATTATTATTGCCTATTCAACCATTGTAAGCCACATCTTTTTGTAATCCAATGGGAAAATTAAATTACATTCTAAATATTTCGTAATAAATGGTAAAACAAGGCTGAACAAAACAAAGATTAAAAAATTAATTTACTATATGCGACCAGCTTTTGTGGGTCATAAAATTTCACTGTAGAAATAACTAGTAACCATATAAGTTTATGTAGAATAAAGTTTAATGCAAATCTATCAAAAGAGAATATTTGCAAAATGAGAAACTTACTGTTTTTGTAGTAACTGCATTAGTTGAAGGTGGACTATCCGTGACTTTAGATGCTGTGGTAGTGGTCGGGGAGGTGGTGGTTGTTATATTGCTGGAGCTTGTGTTTACTTTATTGGTCAGAGAATTGTTACTGTTGGGAGAGACATGGGGTGTAGGACACAGTCTATTAGGCGAGTGCGGAGATGTAGGGGGGCTGTTTGGTGACTCAGGTGACCCTGGTGCAGGTGGTGATCCACTTGGTGAGCCTGGGCTGTCTGGCATGCTAAGCAAGGAGGATAGAGATGAGTTGCTGCCAGTCTTGATGCTGATGTTGATAGCAGACTTTGTGCCACTGAGTAGTCTTGGGGGAGTCTCTCCAACATCTGGTTGATTCTCTTTGGCTATGGGGGGTAAAAAAAAAATGTCTTCTCAAAAGGGTGACCATAAGGATTACCTTAAAACTTAAATAAATAGTTTCCAATGTAATAAAGCAAAACATTTAAACCAAGCAACACAAAAGTAAATTAAATTTATACATTCTATAGTAAATGCAACAAAGAATAACATGTTAGTGAAAAAAATTAAAATTGAACACAAAATACAACTGCAAGTAAAGAAAAACATTAGAAAAATTGAAAGACAAGCTGACTACAGAATATTTAAAACACGCAGCGGTATTTGGTTTCAACCTTTTGTCAAAGAGTAAAAAGGTAAAAGTCCTTACAAAAACCCATATCAACAATGAGTGATCTGGCAGACATACTTATGCTGCATTTTTTTTTTATAGTGTTTTAAATATTTAACTGTAGAAAAAAAGTAAATGTTCTGAAGAGTTAATAGAAATCAATGTTATGAGAGATAAAAGACTTCTTTAAAAAAAATTTTCCAAGATTGATAAACCAACTGAGACGTGAAACTGTGACATTAAATAACACATTCTTACACATTTTTTTGTCAGCACAGAATGGTACTCATTAAAAAAATAGTGTCAGTTATAAATCTTGCACAAAATGTACAGCTTATATTTCAACCCAGCAATTACACATACAAAAGTGCTTTTATGTTAAAAGCACTTTATATTCTTCCCTGCCATAACAATGAAATAACTGAATGAGAGTTTTGAAAAGAGTTAGGAAAAATAATATCAAGGACAGTTTTCAGGTGCTATAACAACGCAAATGATGTTAAAAATGTAAACAGGTCAGAGCATGTAAAAAGACTCATACACAGAAAGTGTGATTTTGGCAAGCCATATTTTCTGGAACATTTAAGAGCACCCAAAGCACCACCAAAGTGTAACCTGACAGCAGATGTCTTGGCCATGATGGCTGAAAATCAATTTTTATACATGTTAATCATCTTAACTTGAATAAAAATAAAACAAGCTTTAATGTTTTCCATTGTTTTCAATTAAGAATATCTGGGATGGAGGATGACTGAAATTCAAGGACATTCAATGTGAGTATTGAAACAAAATAAGACTTGACCTGAAAAAAAAAATAATTATATCCAGGGCAGAAAAATATATAAACTAATTCACTCTATATTTTCACTAGGCATGCTGCCCAGCTTCGCTTAGGCTTTCGAAAACATTGAGAATTTGAATGCTTAATTAATTCGCCCGAAGGTCGGTCTACGACCTCAAGAGTTATGAAGAGGTTCCTCCGTGGACATTTTTTTTCGATTTATAGCTCATATAAGGTACCGGTCAGTCGAGGTCAGTTTTGACCCCCACATCGTAGACTTTTCGGCCAACCGGCCCCCGTGTTCTGTCGCACCAAGGCAAGATCATGCCAAATTTGAAGCGCCTGCGGCGCCGGGAAGTGCCCTATCGGACACCCGACAATCTAGATCTAGATTCCTAATAGAATTTTTTTTTTTAAGTTTAGCCCGAGCATAATAATCCCAAATTAGCCAGTTCCAAACAAAGATTTTGTATAAAATAAATAAGTCTTGAAATAGTTTAGTCCTAATATAGAAATTTATTTTTGGAATTGATTTTAGAGAAGTTAGAGTCTAAATCTAGATCTTAGCGTCTACGTCTAGATCTAGTTATTGCCTAGATTTAGATTTAGATTTAGTCTAGATCTAGAATCCAAATACATAAAATAAATTTTATGAGTTTAGGCCGGAAAAATTGTATTGTATACATTTCATAGTGTACGTAGATCTAAATCAAATTTGAATGAAATAGTTCATTTCTTTTCATTCTAAACACGGCAGATGACGTCATTAGTTAATGTATAAGCAATAGTGACGTCACAGTTTTATGCGTTCTTTTTCACATATATTAATGCTTTTCCGGTTGCATAAATAATACTGTTTCTCTACATTCGAATACGCCTTTAATTTTTATTTTTCTTCTTTAACTAAAATTGTGGTTATACATTTAAAACATCTAACATATTATTTTCAACAAAAGTCCGTATAAAGTTCTGCATATATCGCTGCCGTTTCTGACGTGATGTCCGGCGAAAATATTTTGCGGACAGACAGAGAGAGAGAGAGAGAGAGAGAAGAGCGCACATGGCCTTTTATAAATTAGGATGTTAAAAAAGTTTTGGGGACATAAGAAGTCCTTAGAACAATAGTCAAGCTGTACTGTAAAACATCTGAAGTATATATATTAAAAAAAATTTAAAAATTCGTATTCAGAAAAGAAAATGAGCAAGCTTACTTTTTTTGCTCTCCCACAACTTGTGTATGTGGTCAAGATCTGAATCTATTTTGTTCTTGAGAATTTCAGATACTTGAGGTGAGCTTTCGTTTTCATCATTTTCATCATCTTGACTGAACCACATCTCTTCATCTTCATCAGGTGCACGGGCATCCCTGCGAAATCTGTTATTCCGTACAATGGATGCAGCATGACTGTAAAAAATGTTTAAATATAACACATTTTTTAAATGACAAGAAAAAGTGAAGCCCTCAATAAATAATTTAATAAAAAAAAATTTTAAAAATAAAAAATAAGTCATTGGTATTTTACTTTATTTTTGATAATGCATTAAATAAATGCATAAAGCATTGCATGTACTTGAGTTTCTAATAGTGCTATTTTTAGAGCTCAAAATTTGCTAGAAAATTTTGTCAAATTTGTTAAACAGTTCATCTGACAAACATAATAGCTGGGTAATTATCAGCCATTCAAAGAACTAGCAAGACTTACCCTGTAGTGCTTTCAAATAAAATTATTTTTACAATTGTTTAGAAAGAGCCCTAAATTTCATCACGTAACTACCAAACAAAACGTTTAAACTTTAAAAGAATAAAGGACAGTTGTTTAACATTTTATGTTAACTCTATTTTTATTTAGAGCACAGCATATTTATTTTAAAAGTTTGAATTGATATTTTAGTCTCTGTGCTTTTAAAATGTTTAAATTGTTATCGAATAAATAGAAAACTAAGTTAGAAAAACAAAACAAAAAATTAAACAGAGCAACAGTTAAGCATAATTTCAGACAGTGAAATTTAGGAATAAAATTCTAATAGCATACAATGCAAAGTACTTGTAGTATATTTTCACAATTACAGCTATATGCCTGCTACACTTAAAAAGGTAGATAATTTTGACAAAACAGCGCTGGAAGGTTAAATCAACAGTTAAGGCAAGCCACGTGGGGTAAATGAACGTGAAAAACTAATAGTGTGTAAAACAGCACTGCATGTCAGGAACTTAGCAAACTACCAGAATTCTTTTTTTAATTGAAAAGTGAAAACCTTTGAGATCTGCCAACATCAAATTTAATCTCTGACTAATTTAAGACTGAAAGGAAAAATCCAAGATAGTATTGTTTGGAAAAAAATACTACTTATCAGTCAGTATAAAAATTACAAAATCATTGGCAGATCTGAGGCAACTAAAGTGAAATATATACCGATCACTATCTTCTTCATCATCATCATCTATATCCGGTAACACCTGAAAATCGGACCACTTTCGCTTCCCAGAAGCTTTTTTCAGTTTAATTGGTGAAACTTTTTTAAGTGGGCTAGTAGAAAAATGTAAATGAAATCATATTAGCATACAACTGGCCAGATATGATGTAAATGGTTGATAACATTACCCCAGAATGCCAGTGATGATAAGTGGAATCTAAATATAAATCCACTTAGGGGACAAATGCCCATGAAACCACCATAAAACTTTAAGATTTTGATTTGATTGTTTTACTAGTTTGGTAAAAATTACCTGTCAAAGGAGTGCTTGTCTCTGTTTCTGTCTCGTTGCTGTTCATAGCGAACTTTCAAAGTTTCAAATGTTTTAACATACTTAATTCCCTCTAAATCTTTTTGGAAAGTCTCTACTATGTATGTACTCAATGACTTTATATCCTCCTGAAGAAAATGTAAGAAAAAAAGCCAATCAATAAAAAGTATTTATACTGCTTGGAAGACAAGACTATTTACCTATTTGTAATAGGCAAATAAAAAGACAGCAAAACTCTTGACAGTGCTAAACAAGACAAAAAACTGATTTAGCTGCACAAGTAAATAAATAAATGTTTAAAAATGTTTTCCTATATTGTGTTCACATTTAAGAAAATTTAACTTAATGTGTTAAATAGAAAGTTTATGATCATAACAAAGCACACTTACCACTTTAATGAATTCAAAGAGCTCAATCATGGCTGAATTAATAAGATTATAACGATCACCATTGGCGAGAAAAGCATCAACAATAGGCCGAAAGAGGTTCTCTTTGATTATATAACGATTATAAAATTCCTCCTTTAGTCCGACAATTTTGCGACAGAACCTTAAGGCACCTGTGAATTAAAAAACAACAGGATTATTTTAAGGAAATATATATATACAAACAGATATTTAGTAATTTCATTTCTAATGTGAAAAAAATTAACAGTACTTACAAAGAACAAGAAAAGAATGTCTAGACTTAAGTAAGACCAGCACTCGTCGCAATACATCTTTAGTAATGATGTAGTTTTTTATGTGGTAAGTATGGTGCTCTACACAGAATGTCAACAATTCTAAGATAAGTCCAAGTAACTGGGCACTCTGGTAGTCATCTGAAAATGTTTATATAGACCAGTCAACATGGGAGTCAAGAATAAGATATTTTTTACCAAGTCTACTGAACATTTAAGTGATATAAAGAACAATTAGAAACGTAGACTTACCTCTGCTGGGTTTGTTGTCTGCAGTGTTTGCAAATAGGGGAGCTGTGAGAACATGCATGCTGTGCTTGTAGAAAAAACTGAGGAACTCTGACTTTTCAGTTTTCTGAGGAGAAAAGAAAGTATATACAAATGTAAATAGAAAAGAAATGTAAGAAACTAATTTGAAAAACTTGTGTTAAAAACAAATTGTAACCAATTGAAAACTGCACTTACACTAGCTGTGGCTAACATATTCTCTGGGTCCAGCAGCAGGCGCAAAATGCCAATTAACTGTACTGCCCCACCTAATTCTTAAAGAAAGTAATAGATATTTTATTCTAATAAAAAGTTAAATGCAGTGTTCACAATACAGTAAAAAATATTGTGTAATATTCAACAGGCTTTTTTTTTTAAATGTATAAATTTTACCTGGGTCTGTGTCATTGATCATTTGCTCAATGACTAGATTAATCAATAGATCTTCCTGTAAAATAAAGTAACACAAAATTTTTAGTTTGTGCATTTAAAAATTAAATGCAGTAAAGCTCTTAAAAAATCATACAGCACTTTAAGATATTCAAGTAAAGACTATTTAAAGGAGAAGAAAAAAAAAGAGTCAAATTACATCATCAACACTTATACTTTCGTGAAGGATAAATTCTCGAACCATGGACGGACTAAACTCAACAATATATGAGAATATGTCAATAGCAGCTAGTTTCATTTTTTCATCATCCAAACCCTGCAAAAAAATTACAAAAATATAGCTGCCTAATTTGCTATTTTAACATCTTGCCAAACAAAATGATTTACTTATTCCAGGAAACAAGAAAATTAAAGCATTGTGTATCATCTTAACATCAAGTAAGCTGAAAAACGTAATTGTGATTTATGCATACAACTTACCAAAATGATTTCTATGGAGGATAAAATTCCAAGATTTGATAGAGTCTGGAAAAAGAGAAATAATGCAGGTTGTTTATTTTTTTAAATTTCCTGTATAAACGTCTTTAGCCACCAGCATATTAAATTAACAGTAACATACTAGTTGGACTCCCTATTTACCTTATAAAACGATTCCCTGTTTGGTTGCTGCAATGTTTGAGAAAATGTACAGAATTCTTTGAGGAACAAAACTAGGTCTCTTCTATGGTTATCATCTGTTTCTTCACCAGTCAGTTGAGCAAACAAAGTAGTTAAAAATTTCACATCATCCTGAAATATAAAATCATTGTTAGGCAAGCTTTCTAGTCAGTCTTGGTAAGTCACACAAAACCAGCTTTACAAGTTTAGATTAAAATATTCTACAATGTTTAATTGAAATCAAACTTGAGTAGAGAAAATTGCAGTAGTAGAGTATATTTAGAATTTGTAACGATAGGCCACCTGGCTGAAAGTCTAATCAAATAGCAGACAACCAAAAAAATCAACAAACGCATTAGTCTCAAAACAGGTTGGGTGCATCACATCTGTAATTACTTAATCACTTTTTTACATTTAAGCATTCATACTGACAATATTTAAACTTCAAGGAAACAGTGTTATATTATTTGTTACATTGCCTCCATGTGAGCATCAAATTCAAAATGTAGCTGTTCTCTTTGCTTTACAACTGCAGTTAGTTTTGTATCCCAAAATTGGTACTTAACATTTTGTTTTCAGGTGTTTTTTGAGTGAACAGTTTATGTGAACTACAAGGTAGAGTAGAACATGGACCAGAGTATGCAAAGTACATTTTGTCACAGAAGTGAAAACTAATACTATTCCAATGCCCAGAAAAAGACAACCAACAAATATCCCCCCCTTACACAGAAAAACTTTGAACATATTTTATATACAAATAACCAGAAATATTTACATTCAGCAATCACACTAGGTTAGCATCCCTAATTCATTATCCTATTTTATAAAAATCTCATCACCTGGATCATACTGACTATTTCCACTTTATTGAAGAAAATAAAAGAGGATAGTGAAGATAACATGTTCTCTTCAAACACTGATGGTGTTGGAAGAATGACATCTTGGATGTACTGTACCCGGTAAGTTTGATGGATTTTAGTTTCCAGTTCTGAGTTGGTCATGGGTACAACCTGAGGAGTTCATTAGTTAAAACTTTTTATTAAGTTTTTCTTAAACTTTAAATTAGAGAAAATAAATCCTGACTGAAGAATGTAACTCTGTGTATTTTTGCCCTTCTCCTCCCCACTGATTGTGTTCGTGTCAGGAAGGGGAGAAAAACAACATTACAGACAACTAGCAACATTTAATGTTAAACAACATATCATAATTAATGCCCCATTACAGAGAGTAATGAGTGTGGGTTGCAAGTGGAGAAGAAAGAGAATACCACTTTTTCTTATTACTCATATAGGGTCATTTTTAGAAGTTCAAATTTCAAAATAGTAATCAAATTAACAGTGTAATATGAAGGAAGACTAAGTAAGCAAAGTATTAGGACAGACAGGAGAAAACTGATATACACTACATTAAAGTTGTAAACAGTTTATATCCATAAGATATTTAGCTTAAGATTACCTCTTTGAATTTGGCAGTGTTCCGCAAGTATTCTCTATGTTTAGTGGGAGTTGGTGTTGTTGGATCATATTCCAGAATGCCAATGATGTCAAAAATAATATCATCCGAAAACATTATTTCGAACAAAGCATTTTTGTTTAGGAGGAATATACTTTTGAATATTTCATACAAATGATGAAGTCCATCTATATTTTCCAAGTCCTCACACATGTGAAATAAGTCAACCAATTTGCGAATGTAGCTCTCAGCCTCAATGGCCACAGCAAGCTTTTCACGCCGAATTGGTGATGGCAGTACTGAAGAAAAAAGCTCTGCAATTTCTTCCAGTTTGCTAGTCTCACAAGCAGGAAGTTCAATTGGTGGAGCTGCATCTGGCATATCATCAAATCGTTCATCTTCTGACTCTTCTACAACATCTTGTGTTATATCAACACTGGGATCTTTACCTTGAACCTATGCAGACATATTTGAATTTTAAATTACATAAAGTGAAATTGCTTTAAAAATGACAATACTTTATTTTAGTTTGTATATCAAAAAGATAAATTAATGTAATAAAATGTAGCAAAAATTACTAACAACTGAAAACACTGCCTCTTCATTGAAGGTCTCTAACATTTAAGGTTACCTGACAAATTTTCTCCCAAATTTCATCACAACCAGCCTTTTCTTGAAAACTCAATGCCAAATCATAATTGTCAGCTTCTGACCACACTATCAATGTCTCCTAATACAAAAACATGAAAGGATATTATAAAAGTTAAGAAAAACTAGTGATGCGTTTAACATTAAACCCAATTAATAAATAAGCAAAATGCATTGTTTATTTAAATAAAAATAACAAACAGGTAGGTTAACAAACCTGTTGCTTTTGATAAGCTGTGTCTTGCTGTATTTTAGACTCCAAAAGTATAGAACCTTAAATTATAAAGATTTAAATATTTTGAGATTTCAAATTTTAACAAACATTTGTTAATTTCAATGAGTTTACAAGAACTTTTAGCAATGCATTCATATAATTATTTAATAAAGATAATTAACAGTTGTCCTTTTTAAAGATATACTATCAAAATAATATTAACTGGCATTTTTCTGTAGCATTTATCAATGCCAAGCACAATATAAATACATTGCTGATACTATTATTGTGCAAAATATTGTACTTTTCAAATGTATAGATAATTTTACAAGGATAACTTTCCTTCCAACAGCTGATAATTTTACATGGATAACTTCCCAACAGCTAACAAGGTAACAAGAGTTAATTAATGAGTACGAGCCGACCCGCTGCGTATCATACGCCGCTATTTAGTTGTTTTTTTTCTACTTTTCAGTAATTTATAATTTGTGAATTCGACAGTACCAATGCTGCCATTGAAAATATTTGCTTAAAAACACTACCCCCACCCCCACATGAAAGCAGCCTCCTCTTAGTTACCTCCTGTAAGTTTAAAATCGTTTCAAACTAAATTATCTGCCCCTAATAGCCGTCACCAAACCCGTCTCTGTGATTGTAAAATGTAAACAGAGTGAACACCGCTCACCAGATCATGTGGGGGTGGGGTGGGGGTGGTAGTGATATAGAGGAAGAGAGGGGACTGCAAAGACGCGCTTGCAGCTTGTTTTCTAACTGATCCCAGAAGAGAATTATATATATAGATTACTAAAGGGCAATAATATGCAGCTTATAACATCTCTTGGATATAAAAATGAAAATGTGTTTACTACATAGAGCCCAAAAATACTAATAATTACAATAAAGCTGAATTTAATGCTTTTACCCAGTAAACTTATGCTAATTTGTTTTACCACACAGCAACAGAAATTCAGCTTTATTTACAAATAGACCTATAGTTTACAAATAAGGTTTTTTGGGCCTAGAAATGTAAAGTAACTTTACCCTGAAATGTAGAGTAACTTTACCCTGACTTTATGATGTTTGGCTGTCAATTTAAGTTGGAAGACTAGTATTAAGCCAGAATTCAATGCAAACATTGAATTAAGATATTATACAGATGGCCCATATTTTACTATATAAAGAAGCTTAATAGACAAATTTAAGTTTAGTAAATTAAGTAGGCCTAAATGTCGTGGAAAAGCCACATTACACACATGATGATGTAACTAGATCTAATACTCTCCTCATACCTAAACTTTGTTGAGAAGGTAATATTAGTGGCATTACAATTTTATAACTGTAAAACACAGCTTAGCAACAATAACAATAAAAACTCCGCTTAAATAAAAACTGCATTTTCAAAATATATTACAGTGAATAAATCACAAAAAAAACAGTAGATCCAGCTAAGCCTGGAAGCAATGTAGATTCCCGTTTCGGATGATTTTAGATACCAATGTCCGATAATAATAATAGACTTCCGTAAAATAGGTGGGTTGGGTTGTTAGTAGTATTGTAATCACGACTAAATTTTATGGTTAGAAATTTGGGTTAGGCGTATGGGAGGACTAGGTTTGGGGTTAGCATTGACATTAGCCAGCGATGTATTATTTAGTTAACTACCAGTAACCTATCACCCCTTTTTTAAAGAAGATTCTATTATCTGACACTGGTGTAAAAATTCACACAATTCTCCCCTAGTTTCTTTAATTATGACTAAATAATTTAAACTGTCATAATTAATAACATTCAAGTAGAAACACAGAGTTAGATTAAACTCTAATATTAGAAATTGGGAACCTGAGAGTGCAAACTGAAAATGAAGTCTAAAAATCTGAAAGGGTCCAACTTCAAAGTCTAGCCTAGTCCAAGAGTCAGGTCATTCAGGTCAGTCTCATTTATTTTGCATTGTCTTTTCATCAATTTTTTTCCAAAGTATAGTACATAACCATGTTTTATTCTAGTGCATTATTGATTCTATGAAATGTACATCTAGATCTATGTGTAAAAGTATAATTACCGTCTGTCTCTGATCTCACTAGCAGAGACATTCCTCGAAGTCTCTCAACGTAAGCAGAAGATACATGCCCAGTACCTCTGTCATCCCATTGTCGATCTTCATTTAGCATGTAAAGTTTCACACGTCTTCGTGTATCAGCCATTTTAAATAGAATAGTAAATTCCTTAGTACAAAAAATAACTTAAGAACTTCAGCGTCTCCAATTAAGTGTGAAAAAGGGGGCGCCTACGTGACGTTCGCCGAACACTTTCAAAACCAAAACACAGGACTTAGACAGGTGCATGGGCCCCAAAAATGCTTAATTCCTTTAAACCCAATAGGTAGGGTATACGAATCCCATGGGTTTACCATTTCCTAATGTAATTTTGGTGGTAGTAAGTCATATCGGTTCGTTTTATTAGGTTAACTAAAATTAATCGGCTAAAATCGTGTCATTGTCAACATTAGTAGCGACTGTAATTCGCCGCCATATTGAATGATTGATAATCGAAATGTGGGGTCGCTGCTAGTAGTTTCACGGCTCCCCCGCTAAAAAATACAGATGTTTGTAAAAAATCAAACGAAACAAAACAGTTTAAACATACTACGTAGACCCGCAAATAAATGGTGAAATTATCGGCCGAGGGTTTACAGTGTACACGGGCAAAATTAAACTAGATTCTAGATCCATTCTCGCGCGGGTTTCGTTTAATAAAACATACATGCATTCAATTCACACACACGGTTTACAGCAAATCACATTGCATTTTTTTTTCATTTTTAGAAAGAGTCAGTATCATTCAATAGAGAGAGACAAGTCAATAGCCTAAGTTAACTTGAATTGAATTGGCTATTTTTACATTTTCATCTTGGTGTCACTCCTCGCCTGTTGTATGATGTCATTTTGTGTTTAATAAATAGTTAATCCTTATCGAATATCAATTTCAATGGGCAAATTATATTGTTTGTCATCCCCACTTCCCCACCTATAAATGGTGTCACCAGGTCACCAGGTGTGTACGCACCTTACCCGTGGTGTGTCGAGCTATTTATATATATATATATATATATATATATATATATATATATATTTATAAGCATCTACTATGGATCGCACAAATGGTTGAACATGGTTGACCCTCCAATCACCTCCCCCCCCCTCAAACTTTCGATTACTTTTTCCAACCCATTTTGGCGCCCCCTAAGGACGGCGCCCGGGGACTTATGTCCCCCCCCCCATCGCTACGCCTCTGAAATGAACAATAACAAAGGTCCGATACCATTGTTTACACACATAGGCCCACTTCGCTTCCGGATTGCCCATAACTGCCTACATAATTGTTATCCTCCTGTATGCCTATATAGTATGATATATAGTTAACAAAGTTCGTCTTTCTGTACCACACATACTATACAAAAGTATCTGACAACAGAGAACAACCAAACAACTGCCAATATAAAACAAGACAAGAAAAGTGAGAAGGGAAAAGGGGAAACAGGCCTAATAAAATCATTTCACATGTCTGGATCCAGTGCTTCTTTTAGGCATCTCTTCGGAGGAGGTACGCCCACCCCCACCCCCTTCCTCAGAAGCGCTTCTACCGCCCTTCGAACACAAATAGAATTTATATAAAAAATATATACTTTAACAAGAGTCCGCTCCTACCAATCCCCCGGAAAATTATTTGTCCGTCCCCCCCCCCCCCCCCCACCGGAGGAAAATGTATCAAAGAAACACTTTTTTTTTAATTTTTATACTGTTTTTGCACACACAAGGAAATATTTACTGTGTAATTGGTAATAAAATAGTTTTTCATATTCAAACATCGACCTGTCATTTTTTTTTTCTTTATCCCACAGGAGTTGCTGCTATAGCATGTAGCCTACTATGATATGCAAGAAAGAAACAAGTCTGCTCAGGGCAGACCTATAATCGGATGCTGGATGGGCGTCGCGCATGTGAGTATTGTTGAAGAGCAAGGCACGGGGGCGACGAGGAAATCCCCTGCTAGATTCCACACCTATTGGCGTGTTACAGTATTTTAGAGACGCACCTAACAATCAGGGATCAACTATAGGTTTTAGGCCCAGTGCTAACTATCAGTGTTTCTCTCAGGCATTTCTTTAAATTTATATAGAAAATATATTCTTATACCATCCCCCCCCCCGTAAAACGTAATCCCCCTCCCTCCCCTCGAAAGTTTCAAGTATCCCCCCCCCCCCCCCGAGAAAAAAGTCTGAAAGAAACACTGCTGACCATATGTCCGTCTATTTCAACATGGTTGCTAAGAGGAGCAAAGACTTAGACCGAGGACGGCAACGGACATACCTGTTGTAAGATTCAGAGCCCGAGTTGCCGATGAAGTCTTTTACAATTACATGCACACAGAGTTATCGTTGAAGGGAAGGATCTAAGAGTCCATTATAATTCAACACACGTGTTGGCGTTGAGTCTACTAGACGCACGCGACACATGCGATTCCCGTTGAAGAGCAAAACACGAAGTCGACGAAGAAAGATGGGTCCGGCAGTTAATGTTGGTCTACTCAACACACTTGGTTTCTCAAATGCACGCTACACAGGCAATTCCCGTTGAAAAGATTACTTTAACTGTTACTACAGCCAAACCAAGTTTTGGCATCGCCGTCCTCCAGTTTTTGATGATCATGGTTGTCAAGCAAATGTAATGTACGTATAGATCTATATAGAATTTTTAAACTGAAAAAAAACATTACAATATTATTTCTGCATCATCCAATCTTGAATTCCCATCTCATTCTCATCTGATCTTTTCGAAGACGATATTTTTATTCTATGATGCTTGTCTACTGATGTTTGCTTTTCTAATGGCGCCCACCCTAGATCTATGTTTCCCCTGTGCTGTAGCTAATGGAATTGTGGGAGAACACCGGGGTCCTTAAAGTTGTACGTGAACTGGCAGGCTGTATTAAGTTGTGTATTGTAATGTAGCAATGCTCTACATTATTGATACAATTTTTTTATCCCTAGAGAAGTGTTTCTTCCAGACTTTTTTCTCTGGGGGTGGGGGGGACGACACTGTTAAAAGTATATATTTTCTAAATAAATTCCATTTCGTTCGGGGGGCGGAAGACTTTCTTCAGGGGGGGGGGGGGTGGGGAATAGCCCCCCCCCCCCCCCTCGAAGAAATGCATGGAAGAAACTTTGCCCTAGAGTCACGCGTTGCTGCGGGGTACGGAAGGGCCTCCATAGCTACGACTTACCCACGGAAGCACGTAAAGAACTATGTCCGGTAACGCCGACGTCCACCTTTGGCTAGATGCCCTCTCGTTGCACCCCCCCCCCCCCTGCGGTTTTAAGGTGTTCCTGGCTTGCGACTGGGACACCAGGACCTCCTGTGAAAGTGTATCGCCCGAGCACCGTAGCAAGAGGCCAGACAAGCCACAGCTCCCAGGACGGGTAGTACGACGTACTGGAGCGGTAGATAAGCCCGAGTCCACCCAGCAGGTGATGGGGTACGCCAAGGAGTGACGAGGACGCATAGCGCGGCACCATAGAACAGCGTCGACTCCTGCCACGGCGTTTAGGGGAAACCGCCCAGGGAGTTTAACTGGGGGGTTAGACTCCCAAGGCGACGGAACCTAACTGCTAGAGCAATCCGAAGTCCCCTGACCCTGTTTTCAAGTGTCCGAAGGCCATCCACGATCGAGCTGGGTACCACGACGGTGGGACGACGTCCTGCGTCGGGTGATGGGCAAGGCAAGCCCGGTGAGAGCCCACGGAAGCGAAGCGACCAAAGCACAGTGTTCAAACCGACATCTTCGTGAGCTGCCAACAGCTCACGCCAAAAGCCAGTTAGTTGGAGTACACAGTGTGGAGGCCGGCCTGGCTAATGGGAGCGTAACTCCTGAGCCGGTGTTCCGTGTCATTTGAGTACCCAGAGTTTCTTCCATGCATCTCATGGGGGGGGGGGGGGGGCTCCACCCATCCCCCCCCCCCGAAGAAAATCTACCGCCCCTACCCCGAACTTATAATTTTGACTTGACACCCGTAGATGTAAGTCCGCCCTCCTCCCCGGAGAACATTGTCTGAGAGAAACAATGAGTAAAGGTAGTCAACGTATAGCATTTGCTTTCCGCTTATGGAACAATGAAATGATTGTCGTCTATATGCACCGAACAGGAATGGGTAGAGGGCGTCTCATCTCTGTTCATCACTGGGATTGATTTGAATAACTCTCATAGACTTAGGGGTCGTCTATAAATGACGTCACTCTATTAAGGTTTATTTTTATACCCCACCCCTCATGACCACAAAAGTGGACAGACCACTTATAATGACCTATATATCCTATAATCTTAGGCCTATATATTGTTCAATATTTGAGTCTAAGTGGATATCCATAGCTCACAGTCGTATTTTGTAGGCCAAGGTAGTCAAGAGAACTGTCTCAAAGAAATATTAAATATTTAGGACCTAGTATCCAAAACCAGAACACAAGAGGAGGTATGCGCGAAAAATGCATGGGCGATGCAGAATGATTGAAATCTCCACGTTAGTGTGGATTAATCACTACACTGAAGTGTAGATCTAGATCTAAATCTACACAAGATTTTGACATCTTAGTTCTTACCCACATAAAAAAGTTGTACTTTCAAACGATTGGGAGTATCTTTTAATGTGTCATTATTGACAAAAAAAAACAACAACAACAAAAACGTTAACATTTTTACAGAACTGGGATATATATGCCATTATAAGCCTAATAGAAATCTTTTCTTATACTTAAATTATTCTCTTAGATATGGATGATGAATCTATATTCTACGGTGGAATCCACCTATATTATTATAATTTCATTTTTAATTACATATGGACTGTTGTGTTTTTCATTCAGTGTATGTTTAGATTTTGTATGAATTTGAAAAAAAAAAGCATAGCAATACTATTACTCAAGTGAACATATTTAGTAGATCTATACTCGTTTTTTTAACAATGGGTAGATCTATATAATTTTCCTTTATGTAACATTTAAAATCCGATAGGCCTAGTTGGAGTGGAAAAAGTAAGTGTGTAGTTTTTCTACTGCTAAAACACAATAAAGTGTGTATTTCCGCGATTATATTTGCATATCTCTACGTCACAAAAATTCGAGCCAATCAAACAACGAGTTATTTTAAGAATACTTCTTTGCTGGGGAGTTTTCCGATTGCAAATTAAACCACTACCTTATAAAAATAATTATTTAAGATGGAAAATGCCTTTCTAAAATTTGAAAAACTAGTTTTTACAATAGAAAAATGATCACTCTAGACAATGGCAAATTTTCCAGATTATTTAACCATATTTCCAATATTATTTTTACTTAAAACTATGGTCTACCCCATACATTGAAAAAAATGCAATGGCACTCATCGTGTGTTCACGCTGGCTTGCATTATGACCTCTTTGTGACGAAGAGACAGCATTAGAGATGTGTCTTCGCATTTCAGCGAAATTCTCTCTCTGATCAAGCGTAATGGGTTCAGAAACGACATATTTTGATGAATAAGTACTTAATTACACTTATTATAATCAAAATACGTGTGTTTACTTATTTTATGTGTGTGAAAAGGGTCTTCGTGTTTCCCTCCAAAACACAGCGAACAACATGCCGCTCCTTCGCAAGCAACCATTTCAAAGGCAGAAAATACCTCACGATCTCGATCCAGAAGAAGAAGTATTTCATTGCAAGATTACTAACGAAATTTTCAGAGATTACAAGTAGGTATTCTCATAATGTTATGTGGTAGGCATGGTAGCGCATTTTGTTTACATTATTCGTCCATTTCCATCTTCTTTCTATCTTAACAAGTGTGTCGAGGAGGCAGGGATCTTTCACGGCAGTACAGCCACCATTCGATTTTAATCATCGACTGTGTTGCAGCGCCATTTTTTTCTGAACTACATTAGATAAACAACCATTCCTTATGTATTGTTTTATCAAATATTGCTTCTTTTTCTGTTCCCCTGCAGTGCATTTTTTGAAAGAATCATCCTTTGCAACAGTTTGGTATGGTCATGTGCAATTACTGGCAGGTCTGGTATGACCTTTCAAGAGGCTGAAGAGTGTGAACAGAAAGCTAAGAGAAATTTATCTACATTTCAAGATAGTCTAAAAAAACCACTGTTATATCTTGCAACTTTAACACACAGAAGTAGGCTGAATGATTTGAATGATGATATTTTTCTCTTTGCAAAAGACCGCTTTTTCATTGGAGAAACATTGGATTATGTTGGTGGCAGCCAAAGGTATTTATTTTATTTCTTTACTTCATACATAGATCTAGATCTTATGTCATTTAGCAGTATTGATTTTGAACATATTTATTAAAAAAGTATAAGAAAAATGAATTAATTGTTTGTAATGTCATTTCAGATCTCCCTGCAAAGTTACTGGGGTCATCCCTCCAAAAGATGTCAAACAAAATGGAGACATCATTGTCATTGATGATTCAGATGATGATTCAAATTCAACATCAGGGCCCAAAAGGTTGTTAAATGAAATATTCATTAATTAAAACTCTAAACTCATTCTTCCATTTAATCAATTGATTATTTTCATTTTTTATTCCAACAGTCAGAAGAAGAAAAAAGGTTCTGGAATTGATCCTGCGAAGTACCAGTATCTCATAAAGCTGACAGAAACTTCAAAAATGGAAACTGTTTCAGCTACCACCTTATGGTAACTTGATTACAAAATGATTAGAATGCATACAATTTAGCATGCGTAACAATGCAGTTTGTTGTATAAAAGTTAAAAGTTATATCTCAACTGGTTTTAATTATTTTTCAGCCGTAAAAGAGGTCTATATTCAAGAGATAGGAGCAAGTTATTCCTAAAGCAACACTGTGGGCCAATAGATGGCCTGTGGAAAGTTAAGGTACACAAATCAAAATATTGTCGTTTATTTTACAAACTTTACCCCTATTCCCTTTCATATATTTTAAAATCCACACAGACTAATTTATTTTTATATTCAATTAAGGAATCAACTTTCAAAAAACTGAACCTAGGAGCAGCAACATTTGAGGATTTCTTTGCTGGTCCCCCACCTGAATTTCAAGTATCTTCTGTTAAGCGGAAAAACAATGTCAAAAGGTCTTTTGATGACAATGAACTTGACTTTGAAGATTCACCAACATACTCAAACAAGACGTTAAAAAATAACAAAGGGCAAAAAGTTAGCAATGGTAATTATACATTAAAAAAGTTATATTCCATATTGAATTGTAGGATTTTAAGATTCAAAATTTATAAGAAGTAAGCCTGTACTCATTGTCATTGTTTCCAGTTAATTTCACTCTGGTCTTGCAGGGTAAATACATTCTCTAGTTCATAAGCTTTAAAAATTGGACATCTTTTACTGTGCTCGTTTTTGAGAAAATCTCAGAGTAAAATACGGTTCTTTTTTTCCCCTATGAAAAAGCACACTTAACTTCAGTGCGAAACATTTTTTTCAGAACCTCAAGTGGAGTATGTTCCTCTCCCTGTACCTGAGGACAGAGGCCATATCAAGGAAAAAATGAAGCAACAGAAGCTTGATGTCAAAAGAAAGCAAATAGAAGAAAAAGAAGCAAAGAAAGAGGAATTAAAAAGACAGATTGAAGCGGAAAAAGTTCGAAGGAAAGAAGAAAAGGAGAAGGTAGCTAATCATTTGAAATAATTTCTTTTAATCTGTAGTAAATAAAGTTGTTCATTAAAATCTTTATATTATCCTCTTTTTTTTTTCTTAATTTAGGAACGAATGAAGAAACTTGAAGAAAAAAGGAGGGAACTGGAAATGTATAAAGAATGGTCAAGACCAAGAGATGATCTCGAATGTGATGACTTAAAAGTATGATACATTGATAATACATTGGTGATTCATTAATATAGAATACTGTAATGTAAAAAAACTTTTTCCGTTTTATATTGTCTTTTATTAACAACATAAATCTAATTATGCTTTAGGAAATGCCAGAGTTTGTGCCTGTACGAACTAGAGTACCAATGGAACTTTTTGGCGATGCTGTGATGATTCTTGAGTTTTCCCACATATTCAAGTCTATATTTGATTTCAAACAGTTTTTCCCAAAAGGCTTTACTTGGGGTTCGTTATAATCTCTTATTGTTCATTATGTTTATAAAATCACTCACTTTTAATCTGATAAAGTTAAATTGTCTTTCAATTTAAAGTAACAATGATTTAGTTGTTTAAACAATTTTGTTATTTTCTGGGTAGCTCGTGCAATACCTTAAAAGTCGCACAGATTAGAGTTGTTAAAAGTATTATTTTGTTAAACATTTGTTTATCTTCAGGGATGATTGAGTCAGCTATAGTGGATCATGAACCGGATGGCCCTCTCTGTGATTTACTTCAAATGTTGCTTTGTGCCTTATTTAATCTTCAAGAAGAAGAAGCTGACGAATATCAAGAACTTGCAAAAGAGAAAGAAGAAAATGCAAAACCTAGTAAGTTTTTAAATGTGTAATGTAAGCATCTCTTTTTGCCAAGTATTTTTTGACAAATTCTCATTCAAGTATATTTCCAAGTCTCAACACCAATCACTATTTTCAGATGAGGATAAGGATGATGACCTTGATGAAGAATTGACTACCAATGAAGTGATTCGCTCAGCAACTATCATGGCTCAGTTTTCACAAAATACACTAGGCAAGTTTGCCGTGTTATGCAATTTTTCTTTTTGTACCAAAGGCAACTGCAAAAATGCTACTTTAACTTTTACTTAAAGTTTGTGTTGATGTTCATTTAGTCTTATTGAATGTTTTTAATTTTTAAAATCTTGACACTGCATTAAAAAAGTTATTTTAAAAAAGGATATATTCACTCTATTTTTCAACATTCTAAAACATGGCATTGTTGTCAATTTTTCTAAACTATAGAAAATTGACTTTACTCTAGAAGTTGTCATCAATGTGTACCTATTTGTTGTCTTTTCAATTATCTTTTCCCAGTTAATATATAATTATTTGCAGTTTAAGTTGATTCTCATCTCTCTCCACAGGCATGCCATTACGTGACACATTACTGGACCAGTTCACCCTGTCAGAGATTGTCAGGATTCACCTCTTGTCCTCTGGTGCCAAAGCTAGCAATAAAAATGCCAGGTTCAGGTACCAGCAGCGCGGTGGCTACACGTCACATGACGATCCTGGGCTGGAGCTTAAACTAAGTGACCCTGGGCTAGTGAAGTCTCTGGCCACAACAAATGTGTTTGACTTGACCCCTTGTGAGCTTTATTTATATTATTAAGCCATACAGTAACTGAGCCCTTATTTCACTGATTTAAACTTGGCTTATATTTAAAAAGAATAGTTTGCACTAAATTTGCCTTAAATATTGGCTTTTATCTTACATTAAAGCTTAAAAATACAGTACCCTTCTTTATTTTTGCAGTTTTTGAACTCACTAAGATTATAATGTACGTAAGAGGGAAAAAAACCTGCAGTTGTAAAATAACTTCTAATTTTATTTTTTTTTCAGCTGAAAAAGTCAAAATTATCAACACTCTTATTCAACAAATTCTGACTTTTGCCATGGTTCGTGATATGATTGAAGAGAACAGCGAGAAGCTGAGGTTAAAAAAATATGATCTCAAACAATTACAGTGGGCTGAGCAGAGGAGAGAAAAGGAAGAACAAGCTAACAGGTAGCTGTCTCACATTCCCTAAACAAAACTAAAACTATCTGGAGTAGTTACAGAAACATTTAATTTTGTTATGTACAGCTGTTTGACCTGCCCATTAAGAAAATTATTTAGCGCTTAAAATATTGAAAAACATGACACATCAATAAATCAGATGCACATAATTTACTGCAATCTCAGTCCCCCCACCCCAATTCACCCCATGCATAAGAATTTCCGAATTTCCATAGTCAGATTAGGTATTAGCTGATTTAATGAAACGTAGATAACTGCTGATTGTTTAGCTCAAATAAATAATTAGTTATTAATCTAACAGATCAAATATTTTAAATTTATTTATTCTTTGAATAAATAATAAATAGCATTAAAAATATGTGTATTTAGTTGAAGGTAACTTCCTAGCTTTTGCTTGTCTGCAACAGGTACAAGAAGATGATGGAAGAGAAAGCTAAAGAACAAGCTCGCAGGATGCAGCAGCTGGTTGCTGAGCAATCAGGGTATGACAGATCACACTTAAATTCTTTCTGTAAATGAAGAGCCTTCTGTCACGTGTTTTTGCGGAAAGGCAGAAAGCAGTGTCATTTCTACCCGTATTACATTTGGGACCTTAGTTTGGGTTAGAATTAGGGACTAGCTGATGATGCTGGTTAAATATTTGTGGGAAAATATTTGTGAGCGTTCACTTTTCAAACCTGACGGACCATGGAGTAAGTGGAGTTACCAGTTCTGTGACCTCAGCATATAAAGGAATAGTGTCATCAGCACTATGCCCAGCCACTTTTACTTTCCCTAATGTGAGTTAGGTACCCATCAGAGCTGGGTGGACTCAGAGATGTTCTACTGACTTGAACCTACATATGAAACTCGAGTCTTTCAGGTTAGCAGTCTAGTGCTCTACCTCAAAGCCACACCATCACATGAGGAAGCACCCTGTTAACATTCTTACAATAAAAAAGTACAAAAGGAGATATTTTAAATTGAAATGTATATTTTAAAAATCTCTCACAGTTTTGTTTAAATTTGTTTTCTTCTTATTGTCTCAAAATTCAATTTGAATAATTTCAGGACAGCCCCAGAAAATGCTATGAATTCTTCTGACTTTGAAGAAAAATCCTTTGAGCAAAAGGAAGCGGAGAAACAAAAAGAACATGACATGGACATGCGTAAAAAAGCAGAGTTTTCTAAAAAAGAATTTGAAATGCTGGACGAAATTGTGAACCTACAAAAAATGGTGTCAATATCTCCGATTGGTAGAGACCGTCTGTTTAGAAGATACTATTTGTTTCCTTCTTTGAGTGGATTGTTTATTGAGGACCACGAGCTTCATGTTCCTGCTTGTGTGCTAAAGCCTGGTGCTGCTGGGGCTGGGACTAAGGTAAGTGGACAAACAGTTCAAGATTTTAATAATTTTTTATTTAATTAAGGAGTCCTAGGAAAGTCTTCTACATAAGCAATGTTTTTCAGCTGCTCAATTTATTAAGTTTTTACTTTCTCTTATATACGTAGCATAGAGAAAGTATTGTAATCGTGCAAAAAAAAAAATCGAGATTTTTACAAATCTCGACGTTTTACACCTCACTGATACGGAAAAACATAATTTTGCAATCTTGTCTGTGTGTGTGTCTGTGTGTAAACAGGATAACTTGAGTACCGTTACAGCTAGGTTGATGAAATTTCATATATAAGTATTATATCAAAATCGTAGATCCGTATCAACTTTTGAGCGATTTCCGACAACCGGAAGTGGTACTTTTTCTACTTTGAATTTTTCAAAAGCCTATAACTTTAGTACTATTTCAGATAGATAAATGAAATTTCACATGTAAGTAAAAGATCTAATTCTCTACCTTCTGTTAAATTTTGAGTAATTTCCGTTGACCGGAAGTAGTAATTTACGCTACTTCCGATTTCTCAAAAAACTAATGTAAATTTTTAAAGTACTAATAACATTGCGCACTATTATGCACATTTTGTTTCGGCGTTTGTTTGGTGCGCAATGTTTTTTTCTATGAGATTCTATTCTATTTTTAAAAGTTTAAGTAATTAAAAATCATGTCTACATTCCAAGTTATATAAGAATATTCGAGAAAGTTTAGGGGAGATCACTCCCGGTTTATTTTTAATAAGCCATTCTTAGCCAACAAAACTATTCTGTTTATGTAGAGCAATATCCTTAGCACTATGAAGTTATTTATTTAGTTTCTTTTAGTAAATGAAACTTAGCCAGCAAAGCTTTTCTGCTTGTGTAGGCACACTAATTTTATCCAACAAAACATTTCAGCTGGTGTGGAGGACTATGTATATTAATTTAATATATTATAAATGTAAATCATTAAGAAATACTTCATGTGATAAAAAAAGTGACCTTACAATAAATTAAATGCTCTCAGAATTTTGTACTTAAGTAACAAGTATTCCCATTACTATTATTAATAAGTGGACTACAACAAAAAAAGTGTGCTGCTAGTAGTACAGTAATATCAGATTTAGTGGCAGGGTCAGAATTAGGGTGAGGGTCCTGGTAGGGTATGGGTTAGGGATGTTGTTTGTGTTACCATTAGTAAATTATATTAGTTTATAGTTAACTATCAGTAACCTAACCTATTCTTGTATGAATAATTGGCTCTTGTTAACCTACATTTTTTTGAAGTTGTAAAGAGTAGGGTGAGAGATTTAATGTGCCATAATTATTTGCCACACTAGTAGTACATGTATGCAAAAAATTAAGAACCTTGACTGCCCATAAGGCAGGTGAAGTAGAGTTCTGTTATTTTTCTATATAGATTTATGAAAAGGATTATCTGGTTAGCACTGTGTCCTGCTGCAGTTGCTAATACTTTGATGTGTCTAATTAACAAGTGCTGAATACTTCCATGTTGCATTTAAATAAATATAAAAAATAGGCATTAATTTTTTTTATCCCTAGCTGAAACTACTACCAGAACTATCATTCCAGGGAGAGAATAAAGAGAACAGCAAAAAATCCAATGGGGATGATTGTATTGTTATCAGTGATGCAGAATCTGACAGCAGCGATGTGAAAGAAGAAGACGACTCAAACAGAGGGAATAAATCTAAAAATGATACAAGAATGGACACAAGTGAGGCCCCACCTGTTTTAGAGAGTGAAGACAAACCAGTTCCGCTCCAGAACCCCACCTGGTCGTTTATCGACACACCTGAGCATCTGGCTGCTCTGATAGCTTGTTTAAACACCAGGGGATTCAGGGAATGTGCTCTGCGCACTGCCCTGATGGAGCTAAAATCTCTACTTGAATCAATTCTAAAAGACTGTCCCTCTGACATGTTGTGTCTACCAGAGGATGGGGGTGAAGAGAAAGCAAGAATTCAGGTGAGTTATGAATTCATTTAATTATATTTGAATGATCTTTTCTTATCAGTGCACAGGATACATGGGACCGGCATAGATTTGTTTCCATTTCTGCTGGTCTCTGATAACATTCTTGGCAGTTTCCCAAGTCAGCTGTTTCTTGACAGTTGTTACTTGGCTATGTCTACTTAGACCTTCCTGATTTCCTTGTCTCTTCAGGTCCTATTTATCGCCATTGTTAGGATTTCATCTGACTCCATACTGAGGGCATTGCTCGTTTAACACATCTATTGCTTCTGAAACTGCTTTTATTTCTCATTGTATGAGTATTTGAACTTCATAGTGATTGATTGCACACAACAAATTCACCTGTTACTTTGGCCTAAATAAATAAATGGCATGTGTGGTCATTAAAATACCTGCTTGGTTCTACTTTTCTAGAGAAAATAAACCAGGAGCCCCTTCGTTGTTGTCCTACTACAGCTTATTCTTCCAACTTTACACTAGCCTTATAGTGCTTGTTGGTTAGATACATTCTTGTGGGGGCCTCTGAGTAAAGAGTTGCAGCCATACCTCTCCACCAGACTAGGTCTCTGAGCCATAAAGCAATACTGCCTTAACATTTGTGTTGAAGATTCTTATCTTACTGTAGAGTGACTAGGCTGTGCACTACACTGAGCTACATAGAGTGTATAATTTTATAATTTTTAAATCAGGCGCTCGCCATGACACGTGGAATCTCCAGCAAAAAAGCCGCCCAAGATGCTCTCATCCTTGACAAAGCTGAGACAACAATGGAGCTCAACTTGAGGGATGCTATCCTGGATATGGAGGATAGGATACATGTGGGTGGTCTAGGTACACTAAAGGTAAGATCCATTTTTTTTCCCAATTTAAATTTTAGTTTCATAGATATTAGAAATATAAATTTTTAAATATATGTTTATAATTGAGTCAATTTTTCAAAAAGTATAATGTAAGATAAGCTAAAATATATTAATAAATCTAACGCAAATTGTAATTTGTATTTCTAGATAAAAAACAGAACTGCATGGAGAGACGCAATATTAAATAGAGGCTACCAATGTCAGACAGATGATCCTTTATTTATGCCATCAGGAAAACCACATATAAACGGGTACATTCTGAATAAATTGACCATAATAAGAATCAGTTTAAAATTTAAATATAATTCATGGTATAAAAATACATCAGATGAAAAAAAATAATAGTGTTTGATTATAAAATACTGACCAAAGTTTTTAAATTTCTGACAGAGGTGAAGATGTATCAACAGAGACACAGGATGTAGAATGTGTTGCGAGGGACCTGGCTAAAGCTTTGGTTCAAATAGCTAGGGGTGTTGAACCTAGATTTATGAAGGATCCTCTTAGTAAGTCTGCATAGATGCTTAGTTTTTTTTTTTTTTAGGAAGTATAAAGTACATCAAAATCAAAACAAATTCTTGTGCTATTTTAATTTTATTTAAGGATTGTTCTTATTTTGAAGGAAATCCAAACTAAATAATTGTCTTAAAAGAAAATTTTATTAAATCTGTTACAGAAGAGGAAGAGACAAAGAGAAAAAAACAGTCAGCTCAGAAAGATAAGAAAAAGAAAGATGAAGAAGATCATTCTGATGGTTAGTGTTAAATTTAATAAACCTTACAGTCCTGTTTTTACTTGTTATTCTTCTTAAAGCAGTGTAGAATTGCTGTAAATTACTTTTATGGACAAACTGGCTTAGAGGAATATTCAGACTAGAATTATTTTGTCTAGCTCTGTATAATTTGTCATTTGGTAAAGTGTGGATGTTGTGCCAGTCATCAGGTCATCATCTGTTCCCTTCTTTTCCCGATGAAGTAGAGTTAATCTGTTTCAATAACTACAGTAGGACAGAGTGGTCAGCACTTAGCCCAGCTGCCTTGGTTTCCCTAACATGAGTGTCAGGTACCAATCAGAGCAGGATGGACACAGGGATGTTCTATTGACTTCAACCTGGACATGAACTCGAGACTTTCGGATTAACAGCCTAACCTACAGATTCAAGCCTGGCATTTAAACGAAAGACTTGTGCCAATCACCATCTATTAATATTTTTTTTTTATTTGGAGAAATGGTTTCTCATCTGGCATTGTTTTTTTTTTACCTTGTGATATTTTTGTAAATAAAATTAATTCTTTTCTCATTTTTATCTCCTGTAGAGGAGAGTTCTGGATCAAAATCCACAAGAAGTCTATATGAACGTTGGGAAGAATCTCTCTTGTCTGCCACCAGCTTGTCACAGGTCTACCTACACTTGGCTACACTGGATAAAAGCATTGTGTGGGCCAAGTCTACCCTAGAGACACGATGCAAGCTTTGTAGGCGGAAGGGCGACCCTGAGAAGATGTTGTTATGTGATGGCTGTGACAGAGGTCACCACATGTACTGTTTGAAACCACCAATGGAGGTATGACACTTGTGTGAAAACATAGTATGGTTGTTTATTTTTTTCCAGCCAATCAGAATGTTGCTTGAGTTTGGCATTAAATGTAAAAGTAATTAAAAAGTTAATTTCCATGCAATGTTTGGTTTGAAATTAAAACCATAAGGATAGTAACAGAGAAATGAAAATAAATGTCTTATACATTTCTATTCAATACTGTTTATGTAAACTAAATTGTCTTCTCGTAATAATATAGTCTATATTAATTGTTCTAGTAGATCTAGTTACACTAGAGGTGTGTATAGAACTCAAGAATATTCCGTAAATTGTTTTTCCTTCTAGATTGTTCCAGTTGGTGATTGGTTTTGTTCAGAATGTCGACCCAAGCAAGCACCACGTAGTCCAGTCAGGAAAGGCAGGAGGAAAACTTTCCTGGATTCTGAGGAAGATGAGCCTTCACAGAACGAGGAAGAAAATGAGTAGTAAGTACACGCTAACTATATCTTTATTTTTTATTTAATACCAGAATTATAGGTTTACAAACAACTTATGGATTAGCAACACCCCACATAACATTGTTGGTATTAGTACAACCCTGCTCAAATTCATAGCCCAATCATTATTATTACATTCAATCGGAGTTAATGGCTAATAAATTAGAACCTGTCACTTAATAGATGATGTTAAATTGGAGTACTATCTTATAGGAAAAAAAAAGGTTAAATTATAATTTGCTCAAAAAGGTTACAGATAGCCTTAATTCTCATTGCTGCTGTTGCTAAATTTAGCGCTGATGACACTGTCACTGAGCAAAATGATGATGACTTTGAGGCTGAAGATGACGAAGATTCACAAGACAGTGACGACAGATTAGCAGAGGATGATGATGACGATGATGTGGACATGGAGCTGAAGGATGACCCAGAGGAAGATGTGTGTGTGGGTTGTAAAACGCCCGGCATGCTCATATGTTGTGACTGTTGTCCAAGGGCGTACCACCTTCATTGTGCCAAACCTCCTTTAAAAAAAGTAAGTTTGCTTAGTTGTTAATGTAAATTGTTTCATGATGCTTAAGTTAGTGAATGGAAGAATGAATATTAAAACACCAAGATGTTTCAGTTAAGAGTACATGTTCAAAACAGACCCTTTCATTTTATTTTAATTCACTGCTGTATAAATAACCACAGTCCACCGATAATGTCAATACATTATTGGTGGACTGTGGTTATAATGTTGGTTTGTATTATTAGATTGAATCAAAAAGTCCTTAATTTCAATTTCTGAAATTAATTCATGTTATTTTCTGAAGTTTATTATTTACTTATCAAAGAAGCATTTTAGTTATATAATCTGAATGCGCAATATTTTAGGTTATGCTAAAAATTTAATTTGAATGGTAATTTGCACATAAATGTTTTTAGTAGAAATAGAAACATTTCTTATGCTGTTTCCACCTTCTAAGTGTTATAAATTACTTAAAAATACTTCTTCACTTTTCAGGTTCCTAAAGGCAAATGGATGTGTCAAGTTTGTATGGGCATTGATAGGGCAGGAAAAATTAAGATTGGTTCTGGTGGAAAAGGAGGGAAGTTGAAAGGAAAAGGCAAGAGTACAGATAAAGTGAAAAGTAAGTTTGCATGTAAACAATGAAGTAAAAAGTATTGGATAAACTGATTTAATTGTCAAAATTCTAGATTTGCATACTTTATTTTAAAAATGCCAAATTTTCTTGATATTAACTTTTTTTTTCCTCCCTCCCTCTGCCCACACAAAAATCTTGCAGCTAAAGACAGAAAGTCAGGCAGCAGTACTAAATCTACACCAACCGTGGGCCGTCCAAGAAAAGATAGTCCAAGAAACAGTCCCATACTTGGGAGACCACCTAAAAAAAACTCATTGTCCAGTCCAGTACTAGGCAGACCACCAAAAAAACATTCATTGCCCTTGCCAGATAAACAAAGCCCTGGTGAAACCAAACCTAAAAGAGGCAGACCAAAATCAAGATTTTCACTTGATGCTGCAGATGGTAAGTCTCAAACATGTTAATGTAATGAATTCTTTTAGCTGATATTCAGATACTGTAATAATAAAATACTGTAAAACTGATATTCAGAAATACTGAAACATGTAGTCAGACTTTAGTAACTGTATACTATTTTATTTTGTTTAGTTGAAAAACTGTAGTACTAACTGTTGTATTGTGCTAACTGTTAAAAAATTTCAACCCGCTAGAATTAATTTTAAAAAAATTAAAAAAAAATTATCTTCAGACCCAGATCCCATTATTCGGTTGATGAAACCCATTATGCCCAGTTCCAAAAGGGCAAATGGCCAACAGCAGCAGCTTAGGGCAGCAGAAGAACTCATTAATGAACTTATCAAACATGAGGATTCCTGGCCATTTTTGAAACCTGTGGATAAGAAACTGGTGAGCTAATATAGTGTTTGTTTGAATCAGTGATACCTATGATGATGCATACAGCAAAAGGGGGTAGGAGATGGTGGTATAGAATTGTAGAATATTGAGTCATATAAGGTTACCCAATAATTTCTTTGCAATAGTTGAAAAGGGAGAAGGGGTTGCATAGAAATGTTACATAATATGAGGTGTGGTGGTCTTAGGAAGTGTATAATAATGGGGTAGAGGGGTGGGTAGAAAACGCCAGATTTTTGTTTTATATTACATGTGCAAGATCCCTTGTATTTATAGTTACTGTTGGATTAGTGAGCTTATGTTAAATAGCCATTTCTATTACATAGCAAATTAATACCCTTTTGAAACTAATAACTCACAAATATTGCATGAAGGCTATTATTTTAAGATCTGCACCTTTAGCAGAAAATCTTACACCCAGAGATTAACATAGTTTCTTGTGTACTATTTGTTATACCAGGTTATATTCACGACTGAAGTTTCAAAAGTCAAACTTATAAAATGTTAACAAATATTAATAGAAAATCTATTCACAAAAGTTCCATAAATCCAATTTAACAAATTGTTTGTAACATCCACAGGTTCAGATCAATAGCCATACTTGTAAAATGTTAACAAATATTAACAGAAAATCTATTCACAAAAGTTTCATGGTCAATTTAGTAAATTATTTGTAACATCCACAGGTTCCAGATTACTACAATGTTATAAAGAGACCAATGGACTTTGGAACCATCAGGAATAAAATCCACGCCTTCACATACAAGAGACCTTCAGAGATGCTAGATGACGTCAGGCAGATCTTCAACAACTGCATCGAGTACAATAACAGAAACAGCCCTGAGTACAAGGCATATTTCCGTCTCAGCAAACACTTTGACAAGCGGGTCAGGGAGCTGTCACTCCATGAAGATGTAGAGACTCCTGGTAAAAATAGCAAAGGTCGGGTATCCGTGTGATGGTGTACTAGTTTTAGTCTTTCCGTGACTTGTTTAGCTACCTATTTTATGTACGGCCAAGGGGCTGTACTCTAACCACATTCAAGAATCCTGTGCCCTGTGACATGAAAACTTGTTCTATTCCAGTGTAAGTTAAAATAAATTAATTTTACTAACCGCAATATGTCGTTTACTTTTAAGAAGAAGAAAATGTTCATTTAAAATGACGGCAGTGGAACTTCATTTTGATTGTGCAGTTTGATATGTTTCATGGTTAATGAAGACATCGATTGACTGTTTGTTGTGATGAAACAGACATTAAGGACTGAATGAAAGATTAACTTAATTTATTTTATGCTTATTAAACATTGCTCTTTGTCAGTTAGAATATTGTTTGTTTTCAAGTCCAGCTACTGAAAAAAAATAAAATAGCGTTCAGATCACTTAGATTATTCTTAGATGACTGCAGTGTTCCTCATAGGAACTATTGTTGTTGATTAATGGCCCCAAAAAATTATCTTTGTTAATCACATGTATATAAGTGGCATAACCTATAAATAGCTTGTTTGTTGCGAATCTTGTCATGCATGTTTAGTACATTGATTTTTTTTTTAATGAACAGACCCATGTGTTATAAAAATGTTGATTAAAACAACAAAATGTAATTAGCTGTATATTATTTTGTTGAAAATTTAAATTTTAGATTTATTAAAATAATGCTTGTTTCACAAGTAAAACCGCCTGTTACTTTTCACACAATAATAGTTCAAACATACCTCTGAATTTCTACCAGATTATTGTGTTTGATCTGATATAGGATAGATTCATGAATTTAATTGTTACTTTAAAAAAAAAAGACTGCTTGCCTATTTTAAATAGAGCTTGCAGTAAAACTTATTGCTTTGCCCAAACATTCCCTCTACGCACTTAACTAATACAATTGACGGACACAAAGACCTATTGTTTTACCTTAAATATATTTTTAAGAACTAGTGACATCTGTTTTACATTCGTTTAATAAAATGAAATTCATATAAAAAAATTTTTTTTAGTTCGTTTACAAATAGTGTAATGTGGACTGAGGAGATGAATAAAAACCTGCAGATAAAAATAGGTCAGCGTTAAGTTTTGTTTAGAGGATCTAAGATGCTTTTTACATCCATGGTAGAGCGCTCTTTCTTAACAATTTATTTACCTCTTGTCGAATGTCTCCTCTAGTCAGACCTAATCATTGTCGCAGCTTTGCTTTTGTAACCTTTTGTAAAGACTAAGTGGTCTTTAAAGGGTTAAATTTGTTTTAGACATGTTTTTCTACATTTAAAAAAAAGAAAATATAGTTAAGTTTTGATTGTCTTAAAATTATATTGTGTAAGTCTTGAGGCGAGAATGATGATGTAGACAGTGGATAAAAAATATTTTATATTAAATTGGTTTCAAACAATCATGGTGACTTAATTTTATTAATGTGTGGAGAATATGGACGGACCAAAAACAGTTGACCCAATAGGTTACAATTTTTCAACATGAAATATTTCAATAGAGACCCGAGATAAGAATGTTTACACAAAGGACTTGTCAGCTGAGTGAGTTATTTTTTAAAGTAGCCTTTGTGTTGTCTTACAACATGTACATGATGTATTGTTTTTATTGAATAAATAAATTGGTTTCCAACTGAGACTGATGAAGTTTTTTTTTTTTTCATTGTTTCTGATTAGAGTGAGATGGTTTGATGGAGTCTTTTTAATATGTTGTCAGATTTTTATTGAGTCTAGTACTGATGGAATCAGATTTTGATGGGGGTCGGCAAAAGCTCATGGTTGATAAATTCGAAAAAAGTCTCGAGTTAAACCCCCTGCAGAAAAGGCTCGATCCCTCCCAACACTAAAAATTAAGAACGAAGAAGAAGATTTTGATGGTGTCAAATTTTTGCGGCTTCACAATTTCTCATGGTCATTCTGACGTTAGGCCTACAACCACGTGAACGTATTTTCAAGGTGAGCAACTCGTCTGGGAGAGAAAACTCTAAAACCAAACAACTGATGCTAACACCGTCACTGGGAGTATGACCTTCCAGTAAAGGTCACCAGCCAGGGCGCAAAAGTTCCTAGATGAGCTTCAACTACCACGTGATTGTGACCAAGGCGAGCCATCTAGATGGAGACATCCGGCTGTGGTCAGGTATGGAGAGGGGTGGACTCCGCCATGTGACACTTAGCCCTAGACACAACTCTGTCGTGCCCCAACAAGGGCAAAGGGGTGATTTAGATAATGGTAAATGTCCCACGTCTCGCACAGTCTGCCTCACGTCTTGCACTGTCTGCCCCACGTCTTGCACTGTCTAGCACTGTCTGCCTCACGTCTAGCACTGTCTGCCCCACGTCTGGCACTGTCTGCCCCACGTCTGGCACTGACTGTCTGCCCCACGACTTGCACTGTCTGCCCCACGTCTTGCACTGTCTGCCCCACGTCTTGCACTGTCTGCCCCACGTCTTGCACTGTCTGCCTCACGTCTTGCACTGTCTGCCCCACGTCTTGCACTGTCTGCCTCAGGTCTTGCACTGTCTGCCCCAAGTCTGGCACCGACTGTATGCCCCACGTCTGGCACTTTCTGCCCCACCTCTGGCACTGTCTGCCCCACGTCTTGCACTGTCCCACGTCTGGTACTGTCTGCCTCAGGTCTGGCACTGACTGTCTGCCCCACGTCTTGCACTGTCTGCCCCACGTCTTGCACTGTCTGCCCCACGTCTAGCACTGTCTGCCCCACGTCTAGCACTGTCTGCCCCACGTCTAGCACTGTCTGCCCCACGTCTGGCACTGTCTGCCCCACGTCTGGCACTGTCTGCCCCACGTCTTGCACTGTCTGCCCCACGTCATGCACTGTCTGCCCCGCGTCTTGCACTGTATGCCTCAGGTCTTGCACTGACTGTCTGCCCCACGTCTTGCACTTTCTGCCCCACGTCTTGCACTGTCTGCCCCACGTCTTGCACTCTCCCACGTCTAGCACTGTCTGCCCCACGTCTGGCACTGTCTGCCTCACGTCTTGCACTGTCTGCCCCACGTCTGGCACTGTCTGCCTCAGGTCTTGCACTGTCTGCCCCACGTCTTGCACTCTCCCACGTCTTGCACTGTCTGCCCTACGTCTAGCACTGTCTGCCCCACGTCTGGCACTGTCTGCCCCACGTCTGGCACTGTCTGCCCCACGTCTGGCACTGTCTGCCCCACGTCTTGCACAGTCTGCCTCAGGTCTTGCACTGTCTGCCCCACGTCTTGCACTCTCCCACGTCTTGCACTGTCTGCCTCAGGTCTTGCACTGTCTGCCCCACGTCTTGCACTGTCTGCCCCACGTCATGCACTGTCTGCCCCGCGTCTTGCACTGTCTGCCCCACGTCTGGCACTTTCTGCCCCACGTCTGGCACTGTCTGCCCCACGTCTGGCACTTTCTGCCCCACGTCTGGCACTGTCTGCCCCACGTCTGGCACTTTCTGCCCCACGTCTTGCACTGTCTGCCCCACGTCTTGCGCTGTCCCACGTCTTGCACTGTCTGCCCCACGTCTGGCACTTTCTGCCCCGCGACTAGCACTGTCTGCCCCACGTCTTGCACTGTCTGTCCCACGTCTTGCACTGTCTGCCCCAGGTTTGGCACTGTCTGCCCCACGTCTTGCACTGACTGTCCCACTGTCTGCCCCACGTCTTGCTGTCTGTCCCACTGTCTGCCCCACGTCTGGCACCGACTGTCTGCCCCAGGTTTGGCAGTGATGTTAGGCTGAGATTTTGGTTTCCGTCAGTTGTTATACTGAGGGAAGTGCAGGGGCTGCCTCATGCTTAACTTGTGTGGCTGGTAGCAGTGTTTCTTCCAGGCATCTCTTCGGGTCTACCGCCCCCCCCCCCCGAACGAAATGGAATTTATATAGAAATTATATACTTTTAACAGTGCCCCCCCCCCCCTCGAAAATTTCAAGTGCCCCCCCCCGGAGAAAAAAGTCTGAAAGAAACACTGGCTGGTAGGCCTCTGTCAGGGCTGAGCATGTGCCGTCCTTAATGTTTCTGTTCGTCCTTGAAGTAGTCAAGTTCAGAGTTTCTTCCAGGCATCTCTTCGAAAAAACTCTACCGCCCCCCCCCCCCCCCGAACGAAATGAAATTTATATAATTTATATAGAAAATATATACTTTTAACAGTGTCCGCCCCCCCCCCCGAAAAAAGTCTACCGCCCCCCCCCCCCCCCCGGAGAAAAAAGTCTGAAAGAAACACTGGCTGGTAGGCCTCTGTCAGGGCTGAGCATGTGCCGTCCTTAATGTTTCTGTTCGTCCTTGAAGTAGTCAAGTTCAGAGTTTCTTCCAGGCATCTCTTCGAAAAAACTCTACCGCCCCCCCCCCCCCCCCGAACGAAATGAAATTTATATAATTTATATAGAAAATATATACTTTTAACAGTGTCCGCCCCCCCCCCCCCCCGAAAAAAGTCTACCGCCCCCCCCCCCCCCGGAGAAAAAAGTCTGGAAGAAACTCTGGTCCAGTTTGTGGCAGTGTGTAGTGGGGTGTCTCAGACTCGGGGAGTCTCAGGTAAGGTGAGATGTGATGCTGCTACTGCTGGTATTCAACAGTATGGAGCCCGTAAGAACTTTGTAATAACATCTTCGGCAGGGCTTGTGTTATGCTATTTTACTTATTTCAACTGATAATTATATCACGGCAGCTAATATTTATAATGTGAAATACATAAACGGTAATTAAGAGTCACAGTAGACATGAATATCGGCCATGAACCCGGCATGGGCTCTATGACTGAAATGTTGCATGCGAGTGAAGGGCAATTTTTTACTTTCTCGTATATACGAAGTATAGAGAAAGTCTTGTAATCGTGCAAAAAAAAAAAAAATCGAGATTTTTACAAATCTCGACGTTTTACACCTCACTGATACGGAAAAACATAATTTTGCAATCTTGTCCGTATGTCTGTGTGTGTCTGTCTGTGTGTATGTAAACACGATAACTTGAGTACCATTACAGTTAGGTTGATGAAATTTTATATATAAGTATTTTATCAAAATCGTAGATCCGTATCAACTTTTGAGCGATTTCCGATAACCGGAAGTGGTACTTTTCAACTTTGAATTTTTCAAAAGCCTATTACTTGAGTACTATTTCAGATAGATAAATAAAATTTCACATGTAAGTAAAAGATCTATATCTCTACCTTCTGTCAAATTTTGAGTAATTTCCGTTGACCGGAAGTACTAATTTACGCTATTTCCGATTTATCAAAAAACGCATGTAAATTTATAAAGTACTAATAATATTGGATTAAAAATCATAACTGTCCCGAGTTCCCATCCCCTGTTGTTTTATATAAGAATATTCGAGAAAGTTTAGGGGAGATCACTCCCGGTTTATTCTCTTACATATTAAATTATGTGTAATATTTTGTATCAAAGGTTGTCTCGCTACCACTATTCCGCTCTATTATACGTGCATTTTGGTGCGCAATCGTTTTTAATCATGAAACTCTATGGTATTAAAAAAATTTAAATTTCTGTGAAAAAGTTGCATAAAAAACGTTTTAATAACAAGCTTTTTTGTAATAATGCACTTAAAGGAGAAAATAAATGATTTTCTGGAAATATATAATAATACATGACTATTTAATTTAATAAATGCAGAAAAGCGTGGGTCTCATACCTACATTTTGGTAAAGATATCCAATAGATAATTTAGTGACTCACGCGTAATTTTTTTTTATAGTTGTCCTATTTTGGGAACTCTTGGTGATTTTAAAATCTCGAAGCAAGGCTTAGAAACAAATAAACGCCATGTTTTGTATCAATGGAGTTCATGTTCACAACAATTAATTTTACTCAAAATTTTTCTCTCTCTGGCTAACGAGATTTCGGATTTTAAGCGAGATATACTGAGACTTACACGCGTTATTATAAAAGTCCTAGATGTATATTATTTCCTGGGCGTTCGCACTTACTTTTGATATAATTGTTTTAGATGTTCATAAAATATTCAATATTCAAAAAACTATTTATTTTACCGTATCTGGATATTGGTAAAAGTGTGCTGTACTTAACGCACACGAACTTTGGAATTCCTAAGAAAAACTCATCGACCTTTCTGTTTAGCACTTTAGACCTAGATCGTTCTCTAAGACCTTTTCTTAGAGCTTTCAGGGGATCTTGTGCTATCGGAAATAGGTCTTTGTGGCTAGGATGAACAAGTTTCTAATGCAAGTTTAATAAACTTAACGCGTACCAAATTATACATATAGTTTTAAATTTTTAAGAATTTTCGGATATTAAGGGAGATATATCGAGACTTACACGCGTTATTATATCGCAATTTTGATATAATTTTTTAAAGATGTTCATAAAATATTCAATATTCAGCATCCAATTTTATTTTACGTATCTGAATATTGGTAAAAGTGTGCTGTGCCTGGGAAAAGGTCATCGTGGCATATTTCACGATGTTAACGCACACTAACTTGCAGATAGAATTTGGAATTCTTGTGAACTCGTCGACTTTGGACTGTTATAGCACTTTAGACCATGAACGTTCTCTAAGACCTTTTCTTAGAGCTTTCAGAGGATCCTGTGCTATCGGAAATAGGTCTTTGTGGCTATGATGAACACGTTTCTAATGCAAGTTTAATAAACTTAACGCGTACTAAATTGCACTTATAGTTTGAAATTTTTAAGAACTCGTCGCCCTTCGCGATCTAGTACTTTCGTTCTAGAACGTTCTCTAAGACCTTCTCTTAGAGCTTCCGGAGGAACTTGTGCTATCGGAAATATAGGACTGCCCACTGGTACGGTTTTGCCCCGTAACTTTACGATTTTAACCCTCGGGTTACTAGATATTTTACGATTAAATAATGCTACCGCGGTTACCGTTTCGCCGACCATTTAAATACAAAATTTCGCAGTACGCCGCGAAACCGATTTACAAGGTTTTATCGTTTTTCCGTAGCGTGATTGTAATGAAACTAATAGTCACTTTTTATTCGCAATTCTGAATATATATTTGCGCATGCGTGAACTATGTTTCCCTACGTAGGGGCTATTGATGAATCGAATATTAGATCTATCGATATGAATATGCGTGTTCGTTCTGAAAAATAAAGCGAAGCAATCACTAAAATGACGGAGAACCTAAAAAAAAAATGCATTAAATTTCATAAAAATCTGTAATTCAATTACGAGTAATGAAGGCTGAATTTGTTGATGCTTGCTAAAATAACAAGACCCACGCTTTGATTTTTTTTCCTAGTTGTCGAATTTTGGGAACTTTTGGTGATTTTTAAAATCTCGAAGCAAGGCTTAGAAAAAAATAAAAGCCATGTTTTGCATCAATGGGGTTCATGTCCACAACAATTAATTTTAATTACAAAATTTTTTCTCACTCTGGCTAACGAGATTTCGGATATTAAGCGAGATATACCGAGACTTACACGCGTTATTATATCGCAATTTTGATATAATTTTTTAAGATGTTCATAAAATATTCAATATTCAGCATCCAATTTTATTTTACCGTATCTGAATATTGGTAAAAGTGTGCTGTGCCTGGGAAAAGGTCATCGTGGCATATTTCACGATGTTAACGCACACTAACTTGCAGATAGAATTTGGAATTCTTGTGAACTCGTCGACCTTGGACTGTTATAGCACTTTAGACCTTGAACGTTCTCTAAGACCTTTTCTTAGAGCTTTCAGAGGATCTTGTGCTATCGGAAATAGGTCTTTGTGGCTATGATGAACACGTTTCTAATGCAAGTTTAATAAACTTAACGCGTACTAAATTGATTTTTAAAATCTCGAAGCAAGGCTTAGAAAAAAATAAAAGCCATGTTTTGCATCAATGGGGTTCATGTCCACAACAATTAATTTTAATTACAAAATTTTATCTCACTCTGGCTAACGAGATTTCGGATATTAAGCGAGATATACCGAGACTTACACGCGTTATTATATCGCAATTTTGATATAATTTTTTAAGATGTTCATAAAATATTCAATATTCAGCATCCAATTTTATTTTACCGTATCTGAATATTGGTAAAAGTGTGCTGTGCCTGGGAAAAGGTCATCGTGGCATATTTCACGATGTTAACTCACACTAACTTGCAGATAGAATTTGGAATTCTTGTGAACTCGTCGACCTTGGACTGCTATAACACTTTAGACCTTGAACGTTCTCTAAGACCTTTTCTTAGAGCTTTCAGAGGATCTAGTGCTATCGGAAATAGGTCTTTGTGGCTATGATGAACAAGTTTCTAATGCAAGTTTAATAAACTTAACGCGTACTAAATTGATTTTTAAAATCTCGAAGCAAGGCTTAGAAAAAAATAAAAGCCATGTTTTGCATCAATGGGGTTCATGTCCACAACAATTAATTTTAATTACAAAATTTTATCTCACTCTGGCTAACGAGATTTCGGATATTAAGCGAGATATACCGAGACTTACACGCGTTATTATATCGCAATTTTGATATAATTTTTTAAGATGTTCATAAAATATTCAATATTCAGCATCCAATTTTATTTTACCGTATCTGAATATTGGTAAAAGTGTGCTGTGCCTGGGAAAAGGTCATCGTGGCATATTTCACGATGTTAACTCACACTAACTTGCAGATAGAATTTGGAATTCTTGTGAACTCGTCGACCTTGGACTGCTATAGCACTTTAGACCTTGAACGTTCTCTAAGACCTTTTCTTAGAGCTTTCAGAGGATCTAGTGCTATCGGAAATAGGTCTTTGTGGCTATGATGAACAAGTTTCTAATGCAAGTTTAATAAACTTAACGCGTACTAAATTGATTTTTAAAATCTCGAAGCAAGGCTTAGAAAAAAATAAAAGCCATGTTTTGCATCAATGGGGTTCATGACCACAACAATTAATTTTAATTACAAAATTTTATCTCACTCTGGCTAACGAGATTTCGGATATTAAGCGAGATATACCGAGACTTACACGCGTTATTATATCGCAATTTTGATATAATTTTTTAAGATGTTCATAAAATATTCAATATTCAGCATCCAATTTTATTTTACCGTATCTGAATATTGGTAAAAGTGTGCTGTGCCTGGGAAAAGGTCATCGTGGCATATTTCACGATGTTAACTCACACTAACTTGCAGATAGAATTTGGAATTCTTGTGAACTCGTCGACCTTGGACTGCTATAGCACTTTAGACCTTGAACGTTCTCTAAGACCTTTTCTTAGAGCTTTTAAAGGATCCTGTGCTATCGGAAATAGGTCTTTGTGGCTATGATGAACAAGTTTCTAATGCAAGTTTAATAAACTTAACGCGTACTAAATTGCACATATAGTTTGACATTTTTAAGAACTCGTCGCCCTTCGCGATCTAGCACTTTCGTCCTTGAACGTTCTCTAAGACCTTCTCTTAGAGCCAGAGGCGTATCCAGGTTTTCGTTGTAGGGGGAGCGAAAAGATAAAAAAAAGGCGCCGAATTTTTAATACGTTCTATATACGTGTATTATATATATATATATATATATATGTTACGGTCAAAGCCCGAAGTGCGGCCAAAGCGCGGATTGGCCGGCCAATCCGCGCATTGGCCGGCTCTCTTGGCCAAAGCCCGAAGAACTTAGCACTAAGATCTTATTTCGTACATTGGCCGGCCAATGCGCGCACTGGCCGGGACGCACTGGCCAAAGTCCGAAGCGCTTAAAATTGACAGCGTATTTTGTACATTGGCCGGCCAATTATTTTGGGTGCGTTTTCATTTAAAGTAACGTATTGTTCAGCTCTTGTTTGTATAGCATTCTATATGCAAGGCGACATGGACCAAAAGGGCCGTCAGACCATGAGACAGACATAGCAGATGGCTGTCAAAAGAAAAAAATGTAAATCCATGTTAGTTTCCATATAAGGGCCCTGGATAAAATAATTACTGAGGAAGATCTTGAGAACATTGAACAAGAAATGGAGGTTGCCACAAATGCAACGACATCCTCAGCTAACACATCTACTGCCGTGGCGGAACGCCCAGACCAGTTGCGTGACAATAATGTGGCCAACAGATTCTGTATAGTTTGTGAAAAACATTGTAGTGCAGCTCATTCTTTTGGATCCTGTGGCAACGATGTCCATGCAACTTGTGAAATACCCAATGAAGCAGACGAAGGATACGGAGGGAACAATACCTGCAGATTGTGTCACAATAAACAAGACATCATGGAACACAGATAAGCAGCTCATACTGGCTTGCAAACTCAAGGTGCTAAGATGCTTAAAACATCAAATACAAAATTTAAAGAATTTTTTTTACCGGGACGAACTGAAATTTAGATAATTTATATAGAAAATATATACTTTTAACAGTGCCCGCCCCCCCCCCCCCGAAGAAAGTTTACCGCCCCCCCCCCCGAAAATTTCAAGTGCCCCCCCCCCCCGGAGAAAAAAAGTCTGGAAGAAACACTGGTCACGGTGATCCGCGAAGCGTGATTGCAGTTGTCATGAGCGTCGAGGGCGGTTTCTACAAATTAAGAACGGAACATGGTGTTCTAAAACAACTGTATGCTAGAAGTGAGTTTTCAATTCTTCAAGAAAAACTGCTCTTATTGTCGTCAGTTGGCACTGAGGAAAAATCACTACGAACCATCGCATCTTCACAATCATTGACTGGGAGACAAGGCTATTGCATAACTAAGTGCACAACAAATCGCTGCAAGTGTAAAAATAACAAGCTGCTATGTAATTCTAAATGCCATAAAAGTTCAACTTGTTGTAACAAATGATGATATTGATAGATTGAGACTAGAGTACAATAAAATTTTTTGAATGTTTCTGTCATTTACTTTAATTAATAATCAATAAAGACTTAATTTCATGATCCTTACGGCATAAAAATAAAACCCAAAATCTGCTCATGATCTTCTAATTCGGACTTTGGCCAGTCGTCCCTAGCCAGATGATCTCCTAATTAAGACTTTGGCCGGTCCACCATGGCCAGTCTGCGGATTGGCCGGCCAAAGGCCGAAATCAAGCAAAGTTTCGGACTTTGACCGACCTATGGGAGGCGATATTGGCCAATGCGCGGATTGGCCGGCCAATCCTAGCATTGGCCGACTTCGGGCTTTGACCGTAACATATATATATATATATATATATATATATATATATATATATATATATATATAATAACTAGCTGTATGTCATTGCTTCGCTATGATGTAAAATAAATTGAAAGTAGCACTCTGAAGAAATAAGAAAAAACACACAATGTAGGCCGACAAAACAAAAATTGTATCAATCTAAACATATATATATATATATATATATATATATATATATATATATATATATATATATATATATATATATATATATATATATATATATATATATATATATATATATATATATATACTACAACCAAAACAATGAACGTAACACAATCTGTTTTGTACTTCTTGTAAAAAAAAACTCTTATATAATAATTCCTGGGAAATTATTTCAGACAAGTGATATAGGGGAAATAATCACTCTCTTAATATAAATATGTATATATCAACACATTTAATTATAAATGTCAAAACAAATAAATAATTACTTTAGAATATAATGAAATTGTTTAACACTATTCGTGTTTACAAAATGTTTTTGTCTATAATCAGAATTTAAGATATCGTCATCATAAATGCTAAAGTATAACAGCATAATGAAAGTTTTTAAAATCAGAGTTGGTATAAAAACACGCTTTTCGATATAATAGAAAAACATTCGGAATAACAGGCTACATTTAACTAAATATCGGTGTTTTAGTTCAGATCATATATTTTAATTAATTTGCTTCTTTGTGTTCTTATGTGTTGAATCTCTGTATTGATCACACACCTTTTACTGGTAATTGCAAAAACAACATTCCCAGAGTTTTACGTTTAAAAAGCTTATTTTCTGGCGGCATGGTACTTTGGTACATCATTACGCTTTTTTCTACATGTACTTAACAGATCAGTTCGGGGTGGGTTGGGGGGGGGGGGTGGGTTCAACTTCATTCACCACAGTCCGTTCACTTTAGGTCAATTATCCAACCCAGTGTATACCTAGGTGTGACATTAATGTCGCTCTATACAATTGTGGTGGTGAGGTGTGTAGGGGGGGGGGGAGATAACCAACTCAAGAGTGAACATAGCGTTAGTTTTTAGATGACGGTTCTAAACAAACATATATATTACACAAATATATTAAATATATATTACAGAAATAGATTTAAATAAGTAGCAGTGGTATTATGACAATATTTTTTGTATAAGGGGTCCATGGGGGAGGGGGTTGTAACTGTTTCATATAATTTGTAATCGCAATCACTATCGCCCAAATTGTCATAATACTACTACTTCATCGTGATGACGTTATCGACCTTGTCGAAATCTCCCCACAACTACGCAGTTTGCTCATAAGTAAATTTAAATAGAGGTGCCACATCAGTTGTATTTGTTTCTGTATTGTAATTTTTTTTAAATTAATCACACGATACAAACTGTATATATAAAGTAATTATGTGTGAAGTTTTATGTATAACTTTTTCTAATTCAATTATTTGTAAGCAAATACATTATAGAGTTGCCTTAAACTTAACACTCCTCTTGCCAAGTGGTACTACCGTAGAGGTTTTTTAAACATTGCAATGCATCGTAATGGTTATTTTTAGAATGGCAAACTGATGCAGCTGTTAATACGTGTTGTAAACGTAGACACTACTAGACTAGTACAATAATGCTTAATTTCTGCATGAATAGAAATCTTGTGATTTACATAGATGTGCCGACCAAAAATATTTTTTTAACAAATATCATTGTTTAAAACTTTGAGTTTAAAAAGTTTCCAAAAAGGCGCCACTTTGCTGAAAATGGCCAGAGGGGGAGCGGCCGCTCCCCCTGCTCCCCCCCTGCGTACGCTACTGCTTAGAGCTCGTTTCGCCGACCATTTAAATAAAAATTTCGCAGTACGCCGCTAAACCGATTTACAAGGATTTATCGTTTTTTCCGTAGCGTGATTGTAATACCATATACCAATATATTTGCGCATGCGTGAAATAGGCTATACTATGTTTCCCTACATATTGATAGATAGAATATTAAATCTATCTATATGAATGTTTGTGTTCCTTCTGAAAAATGAAGTGAAGCAATCACTCCGATGACGAAGAACCTAAAGAAAATATTCGTTAATAAAAATTTGTAATTCTATTACAAGTAATGAAGGCTGAATCGATGCTAGTTTAAATAACAAGAGTATTTCCATTATTGATAAGTGGACTTCTCCCTACAAAAAGCTGGCAGAGGGGACTGTCAAGTAGATTGCCAGACCGGTAAAAGTGGAAAAAAAAACTTTCTGTGAGGCGTCCCCATGTGTTTTGGGCACAAAAAAAAAAAAAAAAGATGGTTTAATTGCATAAATGTAAAGCAGATGTTACTAATAATACAATGTTTTATAAATATATTCATGGTACAACAATAGGTTTTGTGTCAGAAAAATTGCAACAAATTGGCTGGAGTGAGGAGCTAAAGTTTGACCAACTAATGACTACAAGGGGTGGTTACATTTGCAACTAAAAGCATAATGACCACTTACAATAGTTATAAACAAAAAACAAACAAAGCTAAAGTCTGTGGACTCACTTCTGAACACATTGTTTAATTTTCAAAATATATACCTCACATCATTTATCATTAAATGAACATGAATGGAAATTAAGATGAAAAGGTACGAATGTGAAAATTGAAACGATAAAATTTTTTTTTTTAAATTAAAAAAAAGCTGCACTTCAAAGAAAGTAATGAATTGTAGAGCAAGAAATTTTGATGTACAAAAACTGAATTGTTTAAATCACACCATAGTGGCGCAGCTAGGGGGGGGGGGGGGGGGAAGCATAATGTACAGGGCGATTCTATTCATTTCTTGGACACTATGTTTTGGAATAGTTCAGTAAATCAGCACCGGTTGTCAAAGGATGTATAAAAAAAAAAATTTCCATGAAAGATGGATAAGTCACGGACCACGATGTACAAAAAAAAAAGAATTAAAAACAACAAAAAGTGCGTGTAGCACGGTATGAAAGGCTATGGCAAATCTAAATTATGTACAGCAATAGTTCTGCCACCGATGGCAGTAAACAAAACAATACAAAGCTGTTTTCATTTGTTCAACAAATAAAAAAAAAGTGCTTTGTTTTCACATTTATTGAGTTGTGGTTTTTTAATAAAAACTCACAAGAGGGGCGAAGGCTAGCACTATTGGGTGACGCATAGGGAATGTACACCCAGGTTGCAGTTTTCTATATATACATGTGTATGTATATATACATATATATGTATATATATACATATATATATATATATATACATATAAATATATATATATATACATATAAATATATATATATAATATAGGGATGAGGCAGCATAGTTGAGTTTGTCTTCATAAATATGTATACACGAGGGCAACAAAATCAAATATGCCTCATACGATTTGTGCAGGTTAAAAAAAAATCTTTAATATGTAGTATTGCTAATAGGGCTAGAGATCTTTTATCTTAGTACACAACAAAAAATTTAACTTCACATTCAGAGAAGTGAAAAAGTTGGCAGATGTATTTTGTAATCTCTTTCTAAAGTAATTGATAATGCTGAAGCTGTGAGTGGTCGTTACACTCACATTTCATGCAGTCCTATGATCCGAATGTCGGAAGAAAAAAACGCTTAATTAAAATTTAAATGGCTATCAAAAGATAAGCAACCCATAACAGCCTAGAAATCTCCTGTAATGTGGCTTGATCATGAAGGTTGAAACAGACTATGAAGTATCACTAATGTAAATTATAAACAAAATTTCCCACGGCTTTTAGAGAAAAATTAGCAAATTAATTGTTGATGCATAAAAGAATAGAAAATGTACTCCCATTTTCCTCCAAACATTATATAATGAAATCTTATAAAACTGTTGTCCAAAACTAACTACAAATTTATATTTTGTTTATGTATTACCTCATTAAGTTTTTTTTTTCAAAACCAAAAAATATTAGTTTATGGTTCATGAGAATCAATATTGAAGCATATCATCTATTTAAAAGTAAGCAAATTATGGTAATCAATAAATACATAAATGTATTTTATAAACAAAAAAAAACTTAGAAGTTCTTTTAAAAATATTTAAAAACAGATGAAACAATAAATGCACAAAGGCAGATGTATTTCACATTTAAAAAGCGCAAGTTGTAACCAGACTTTAAAAATGTTGCATATATAAATATTGCTAGTTGAACCACTTTTCCATATTTTGTACAGCACTTCACTCAATTTATAAGTAATTTTAGCCTACATTTCAAATAAAATTTTCACCACAGTTGCTACGGATCATTTTAAAAAAAACAACAATGATGTCAGAAAATTTAACTGTAAAACTTTAGAAATTATCATACAATTTAGAAAAAAATTATGTTAAGCCTAAAGTCAGCAAGGTTAAATCAATTTTAAGCAACAATTACAACAATACAAAACAAGAAGTTTGTTACATTAAAATTCTATCATTAAGATTGTTTTTTTTTATAAATATTAACACTGGCTCCAATGAAAAAAATCTAAGACTTTCAAGTTACTTCAGGATAAAACAAGAGCACTCTGGGTAAAAATGACAAAATACATACCCAATAAATTATCTTGCCATGAAACAAAAATATTATTGCACAATGATTTTTAAAATATTCAGCCTGTATAAACATATACAGCCGAATAAAATTTTATTTTCACAGATCTGAACCCCACAAAGTCACTTATCCATTGAAAAAATACATTTTAAGACTCAATGAATAAGTAAGGTGGATCCTTTACCGGTAATTAAAAAAACTAATTTTACTTTGAAGACATCAGGAAAATATTTCTCGCTACAGTTCGTGAAGGTAATATGTTGCAGACCAATCCCCATTGGTCAGTTTCCACGAGGGTCACATGTGAAACACCTTGATCTGATCCCTGATGAGCTGACTCAGTAAATCCTCTGCTTTTGAAGGAAATAACATCCGTTGATATTAAACGAGGCGGAAATTTTTGAAAAAATTATTTTTTCCCGTAGTAGGAAGTGAACCACCCAGTGAGGCTGGCGGCCGCACGATTGGCTACGTTGAACAAGGCACCAGCGGTGGATGTGTTGTTGTCCACCTGCGAGGACAAGCCCATGTTTGAGGCGTCGCACGTGGGAAGACTTGTCGGCACGCGCTCCCAGTCCCTGGACAGGTCCATGTCCGCTGCTGCCTGGTCCGTGTCCTCCTCTACGTCGTCGTACTCCAAGGGGCAAAGTTCGGCTTCGACTAGCATTTCATAGTTTGGACAAAATGCCCCACTCCTGTAACATTATAAAAACGTTAATGATCAATTAATAATAATTTGAAGAAAGTTGTTTTATACTGTCTGTTTTCACTTCAACTTCTATATTAAAATCACTGTACTAACTAAGTTATTACTACATTACTATGAAACCACAAAAATCCGGAACAAAGATCATAAAGTAAGTATGGTTTTTACAAAAAAAAATATTTTCAGGCAGGACCAGTGGCGAATGTAAGGGGGGGGGGGGGGGGGGGGTTGTCAGGACACAAAAATGATGAATGTTTTTAAAATAACAGCCACTGGTGATTTGCCAAGAAACACCCAACAATGCAAACAACACAAAGATGGGCTACACCTGGAGTCAAAATGACAAGATGGCACAGGATAGAGGACTCTGGAGATCTTTGGTTGGCAGTCAATACCCCAGCAAGGGTGACTGATGAGAGGTGATGATGTGATAGTGAACTCAGTTATTTTTCTACAGGTAACACTGTCATGGTAAGGACTCATATTAGGGTTACAATCTGGGCTATGATAGCAATTTCTGAAAACATGATTTCATAACAAATTATTGGAGCATGACTAAGCTGGAATCCCCAGGGAAAAAGGAGGGTGGGCAGGCCAAGGAAGACATGGAGAAGAACGGTTGAAGAAGAGGAGGCGAAAACAGCTGGGCACAGACAAAGGGGGCAGCCCAAAACCGAGTCCGATGGAGATGTGTGGTTGCAGCCCTTTGCTCCCCAGGGGCCACAAAGGAGTGATGATGATGATGACTAAGCTGCAGTATAACACAACTGACCAGGCTGACTTACCTGCCAAGACCTGGGCTATGGAGGATGGTCAAAATATTCTGAAGGGATAAGTTTTCTAGAAGGTTATCAGGGTCAACGTCCTGGCTATAAGCCAGGTGTAATATATTCTGGTGTAAACGCCAGACAAAGTTGCAGAATTCATGCTCAGTCATGTCATCTTTAACTTCTCTGAAACAGATGCAAGTTCCAGTTAAAATATTTTTTATAAAAGAATTTTTTAAAAAGTAAAAGAAAAATTGCTTTATTTTGGGGGAAAAGACAACAATAAAAAAAAAAAACAAGTCAAAAACCCTTAAATAAAAAATTAAAAGGAACATAGTAAAAACAATACATACTTAAATTAACACATCTTTGGGAGAAAATAAACTTTAAAAGTAAGAAATAAAAAAATAATGAGAAACCCCAAAATAACAGAACAAAACAACATAATTTAACATAACAAATAAAATCACTCACTTGATTGAACACATTCTGGGTAGGTGAACATCTAGTATGTGGGACAGCAGTCTGACAAACATGGATGTGTATGTGAGTGCTGACAGAACACCGTAGCTGGAGTTACCCACAGGAATTTTCTCTGGGTTCTCTAATGTATGCCTGCTTGCCATGGCTAAAAATAAATAAATCATGTGATTAGTAATGTTGTTCTACTAGAATTTGTGTTATGTTCTGGGTTCTCTAATGTATGCCTGCTTGCCATGGCTAAAAATAAATAAATCATGTGATTAGTAATGTTGTTCTACTAGAATTTGTGTTCTGTTCTGGGTTCTCTAATATATGCCTGCTGGCCATGGCTAATTAAAAAAAAAATGTGATTAGTAATGTTGTTCTACTAGAATTTGTGTTATGTTCTGGGTTCTTTAATGTATGCCTTCTTGCCATAGCTAATTTTAAAAAATTATGTGATTAGTAAAGCTGTTCTACAAGAATTTGTGTTATATTTTCAGAAAATAAGAATGTTGTTTACTATTAAATTTTGTAGTGTCAATTAGCCTTTTTCCATATTCATAATATCACTAGGGTGATGACTAAGATGTTAAACATCATTATTAAGATGACTTAAATAATTATAAACTACATTTATTTACCTTAAATTAGATACCAATTTTAATTACCAAAATTAATCGGAAGCCTAGAAAATGATTTTTGAAAAATCGCATTTGTTTTTAAATGGTTAAGATGCTATGACTGAAAAGTTGGGTTAGTTTTTAAGGAGTGTTGTTGTGGCGCAATAGACAGTTCAGCACAAATGTGTTGTCTGCTAGAGTTCTTCCTGTAATTTACTTTATTGGTTAAAAATGATTATCAACTGATACTATGGCACAGGTAGCTGACATGAACTCTAAACCTAAATTCCTTTTATAATGGTTATAATTTTACAAAGTTGAAATTTTAAAATTGTTACAATTAAATCACACTGTAATATTGTTATATTAAAAAATAGTTCTCCCTACCAAACAAATGAATGGCTGATGAGGTTCCACTGTAGTCTGCTAGGGTAGAGCCCACAATTTTACAGTGGTTCTCTCCCCTGTGGTCGCCATGGACCCAGCGCCCTCCAATAAATGCAGTATCACAAGCATCCCTGAGTGCTGTGGCCATGCTCATCTCCAAGCTGTCAGTATCTCTGAAATATTGAGGTTTGTTTTGTTGAGACCTGGTTTTATTTTTTAAAGAACCTAAGACAAAATTAACTGGGCAAGTTATGATTTTATTAAGATGATTTAAAAACTGAAATATTTTGTTGTTTTGTTGAGACCTGGTTTTATTTTTTAAAGAACCTAAGACAAAATTAACTGGGCAAGTTATGGTTTCATTAAGATGATTTAAAAACTGAAATATTTTGTTGTTTTGTTGAGACCTGATTTTATTTTTTAAAGAACCTAAGACTAAAATAGCTTGAAAATCAAGACTGTTCTAACTCAAACTTACGATTTTTTCAAGGTTTATACACCATTAAAAATAATCCATGTAAGCATGATGGTGAAAGAAAATTGTGGCCATATCCCTATTATTACACAACAGTTCTACTTCACAAAGTTTAAATATATAAAATATAAAAGAAAACCTGAAAGCCTTGTGGTGAACATTAAAAAAATATTGAGTGACATGACATTTACAGCCCACAGTAGAAAGGAAAGTATTTTTGGATGATTAAAGATACAAATGTACAATAATAGACTCTTCTAAAAATAGGTGTGTTAGGTTGTTAGTAGTATTGTAATCTTGTCTAGTTATATGGATAGAAATAAGGGGTTAGGTGTATAGCAGGACTAGGGTTGAAGTTAGGCTTAGCATTGACATTATCAAGTCATATGTAGAATTTAGTTAACTACAAGTAACCTAACACCCCTTTTTAAGGAAGATTCTATTATCAAGTCATATGTAGAATTTAGTTAACTACAAGTAACCTAACACTCCTTTTTAAGGAAGATTCTATTATCAGACACTGGTATAAGAAATCCCCTGTGTTTTCAAACAAAGAACACAGAATTCAGAGAAAAACACAATGAAATTAAATCACTTACACAGGTGCAAAAACTTCTTCAATGGTGAAAATCCTCTGGGATAAAATCTTGACAAATGTTGCTCTTCTGTGGGCCAGGTACTGGTGGTACAGGTCAAGCTCCTTTATGAGAACAGGCACAGATTTGTTCTCTAGATTTGTTTCTTTCCCGTCCTTCCCACTTTTTGACTGGGCTCTGAGAGCTGCTTGAATCAACTGCTTCACATCACAGTCTTTGTTGAACTCCACCTCGCAAAGATCTTGCAAAGATGGGAGCCTGGTCGTGGGCAGCTCGGAGAGTGAGACCACCTTCTGCCTGACCACCTGGATACTGACAGCCTGGTTTTGATCCAAGCTGGCCTGCAGGTCTCTTCGTTTCTTTTTGCTTTTTTTCAAGACTTCTTTGTCTAGGTTTGGAAAAAAAATATATATAAAAATGCAGAAATAAGAATAATTTGCAATTTAGTAATATACAGGCTGTTACACTCAATGCTCTTTAATTTCTACTTTATATCAGTGTCATAACTACAGAAGTTTGTTTCGTATGTTGATGACCATTTTTGTTACCCCGGTTTACATGTATTCAATTTTTAATCACTCCCACATATGTATATAAAATGTAGGACCAAAATGGATTCCCTCAACTTAGAGCAAAATTTACTGAGTTTACAGAAAAATTCTTTAAAAAAGTGACTTTGTGGACATCCCCAGCAACACAATTGCTTATAGCCATTTCAGAAATGAATACATTCCTGTAAACTAATACCTACCAACTTCACATTTTGCTTTAGTTTCTGTTATTGCTTGCTTGAGAAGTTGAATCCTCTTTTTGATAAGTGCAATGTCTGTCCTCTGAAATTAAAATCCTTTCGTAATTTATTTCCATTTAAAAAAAAACAAAAAAAAAACTTATTTTAAACAACTTCAAAAATGTAATCAGATTATTCTATTACAGTTATAAAAGCTTACTTTTGAATCTGCCCTTTCAATGTCCTCAATCTCTAATTCAAATCTGCAAACAAACATACCAAGATCTTTATTTAACCACCACTTTTGTTGAATTAAGACCAACTAATCTAGATATTTATTTTAGTAAATCATACTGTGGGAAAAAAGTGTCATACCATTGTTCTCAAAGTGTTTTGAAATTTTTAGATAGCAATTACAACTTTAAGGTTAGGTTTAGAGGGATAAAACACAATTTACAAAAATATTGAAAACACACATCTGTGTTATTAAATAAAGGACAAGTATAATTATTCTATTATTTATTTATAGGCCTGATTTTTTTTTACTGAAAAGTTCGGATGATTACAGATATCGGTGTCTGAAAATGGAATCTTCTTTAAAAAAGGGGTGTTGGGTTGTTAGTAGAATTGTAATCTCGACTAATTTTATGGTTAGAAATTAGGGTTAGGCGTATGGTAGGACCAGGGTTGGGGTCGGGGACAGGATTAGCACTGACATTAGCCAGCCATGTGTGTACTTAGTTAACTACCAGTAACCTAACGCCCCTTTTTAAAAAGAAATTTCCATTATCGGACACAGGTGTAAACATTCTCCCAAAAATTCATTTTAAGCAGAGCTTACCTTTTGCACACATCTTCTCTTTCTTTTTTTTTGACCTCCCATTCTACTTTTTTTTCACTAAATCTGAAAGAGCAGAAAACAAAATCAATACAATCAACACAATAAGTCAGAAGTCTTGAGTTAACTTCCTGGAGAAGTTTTGTTTTGGTTTAGGCACTACACACAACACTGTGCATGCGAGGTATGTGGCCCGACCGACCGAAAGGATATTGTTTATATCACTGGAGATGGGATTATATTTAACTCAATGCAACAAGCCCACAGGTTGGTTGAAGCCAGGCCGTGGGGATGTTCTGTCCGGGATTCAAAGGGTCAAATCGAAATATCATCCCACATGTTTATCTCACTTTACAACAGTAGGCCTAATTAAAATTAATTTTCAAATTTTTATTATGGCCTACTTATTTGGGTAAGATTAAGCAAATTTTACTGCTAATAAGTCAAGTTCAGTGGAGGGTGCCACAATAGGCTGACCTGACTTTGGAATTTTTTTCAGTAATAATGACTTTGCACAGACAGTTAAAATATGCTAAATTGGCTTAGTTTACAAGTGTGATAGTGATAGCTAGATCTATAATCAATAATCTATAGGCCTATTGATACATTTTTTTTAATAAAAAATCATTTAGATCTAGGAATTTTCATCAAAATAGTTAAATACCTACTAAATCTAGAATTCTAGAGCAGTAACTAAACTATATTATACTATAACTATTCTATTACTACAGAGTAGTAGATCTAGATCTAGAGAGTAGAGTAGAGTAGAGAAGAGAGAGAGCTAGATCTAGATTCTAGAATTAGAATCTCTAGACTAGATTTCTAGATCTAAATCTAGATCTAGATCTAGAACTAGAATCTAGTTCTGCCCACGATTTTTAAAATTAAATTTGTGTCCTTGAGTTGAGACCTTGACCTCGTAAACATATTAAAAGATTAGAACAACCTATTAAAGTGAATACATTTTCAAAATATTCTTTAGCCTGATGAGTTACTTTAGCCCCAGCTCTTCTCTGCTTCATAAAGAAAATAAAATAAAATAGGGCAATTTTTTTCTATTTTTAAGTGTTGTCTCACCGTCGTCCGTCTCTCCTTTGAGTGTGAGTAAATTCGCCTTTGTTAACACATGTATCACATAAAAGATTGCTCCTGTTTTCACAACATAAAGGGCACTTCTCAACTGCTACTTTTACAATTTTCCCCTCTTTTATGGCCTGTTGCAAAATTCTTCTAAATTCGTCAGTAGTCTGTGAAATACTGGCGGCCATAACAAAATTGTGTTTACGATGAGGAATTGTGGGATAGCCATGTGATTGGTTGGAAACGTAAATAAAAGAGATTCATGCATTATATCAGTTCTATTTTTATCCCGCACGTTTTTAACCGAATTTTTGTTTTATATTAGCTGAAAATGACAATTTATTCGTAAAATTTTCAAGTAAAAATCACCAGAGGCAAATCAATCTGCTTTCTTCTGTTTAACTATAACCTTTCTTGCTGCAAAGCAATGTAAAAAACAAACAGATGTAGATTCTAGAACTTGGGCTTTACATTATTTTAGTTCGGCCCCGTTATTATTTTTAATAACCTTGGCGGGGTTATTTTAAAATTGCGAATCTTAAAAAATAATTAAGATTAGCAGCATAAATATGTCAACACTTTCGGATATTTTAAATAAACTACCCCATAAATTAGTTGGTAGACTTATGCCATTTCAAAAAGATGGTATCAAGTTTGCTATTGAGAAAAACGGACGGTAAGAACTTTAGATCTATAAACTTATTAAGTAGGCTTAGAAGAGTTAAGACTGAGAGATTTAGAATTTACTTTTAGCTAGGGCCTACTAAAATAATTTACTTTGTTCAGACTTTTTTTTTACTTTTTTTGTTGTTGACTTTGAATAAAGCTGGGGTTTGTATTATTTAAAAATATTATATATTATTATAATATTATAGTATTAGGCCTGGGCCTATATTAATTATATTATTATTATATTATAAGAGGGCCTATATTATATTAAATTAAGTTATATAATATTATTTAATAATATTAAGATTAGGACAACAGGCTCCCGCTCAACAGGTCACAACGTTACTGACTTTACTTTAGTTAGGAGTTTAGGACACAAGTATTCAAGAAAGCAAACTGCTGCAAAGCAAGAGTTCAAGAGTCAAATGAAATTGTCAGTGAATTGAGACAAATATGATGAATAGCCCACAAGTAGATCTAGATCTAGTATGATTGCAGTCAGAGCAAGCTTCCCAAGTTACCCAAGTGTCGCCAAGTTAAATGCTACTAAATACTACTAATTACTAAGACTCTAGTACTCTAGATTCTAGACTCTCTAGACTAGAGACTCTAGATATAGATTTAGTGACCATAGTCACCATAGGGCATAGTCCTACATGAAATAATGATAATGATTAAATCATTAAGTCACATGTGACATTTGAGTGACAGTACAAAATTGAGTACAAAACCAGAAAAATACTAGAAAAATAGGTCATGGTAGTTTTTTTTTAGTCCAATTCTAGCCGGAAAAAGATACCCATGTGCAATTAAGCGAAGCTATTAAAGTCACTGCGCATGCGCAGAACTATTGAGTTTCATATTTTCTTTTTCAGAGTAGTCACTTCGTATTTTTTTACCCATCCCCCCTCCCTTCAAGGTAGTACAAAGAGCTGATAATTTCTACCACTAGTCTATCATCTCTAATCCTTAACGAATGCTTCATACAAACTACCTTAGTTAAATGAACTATCAGTAGGCAGTAATATCTTTTTTAACTTGATCTAACGTTTTTCAGCTGTCTCATTGCAGATGAGGTGAGTGAATAAATTAAGCTTACATTAATTATAGATAAATTAGCGAAATGGTAAAGTTTGTTGTTGTTTAAATCTTAGTTTTTGTTGTTATATTTGAATGTTGGCTGTGCTACAAGTAATGTTGAGTACAAGCTGACCCACAACGCTATTTAGTTGTTTTATTTCCTATTTTTCAGTAGTTCATAATTTGTGAATTTGACACTACCAATGCTGCGACTTAAAATATTTTGTTTTTAAACACTATCAGTAGCTTGTGAAGGACGATTATCCTCACCTTCACTTTCCACTCCTCCCCCTCCCCCGCCCCTGTAAGAGCAGCCATCCGTGATGACAGTTTACAGACAACAATGAAAAGATCAAGCAGAACTTATTACCTCCCCTTAGTTTCAAATAGTTTAAAAACTAAATTTTCTGCCCCTAATACTAATGGCCGTCACTAATTTGACCCTGCTCTACGATTGTAAACAGCTCACCAGACTGGTAGGGGTGGTAGCGATATGGTCTGTTGAGCTTATGTGGTGGTGGTGTCCCGCATTGTCTGTCACTGAAGATAATTATATATATAGATACTATTCTGTTATGACAGTGAAATTTTTTAAATGCGGGTATACCAGTTATATTTTGGTTTAGGAAAACATTTTTAGTTGGATCCAAGGTTACAACTATTAGAGTGAAATTATTATTACATCAGCAGATGTTTAAATTCTATTGTTTTTTCTGTTTTAAATATTGTATTATTCACTCACCTGTTTCAGATGGGTCTTGGAAAAACCATTCAAGCAATATCTGTGGCTTATTGCTACAGGGAAGAGTGGCCCCTCTTAATTATTGTTCCAGCTTCTCTCAAGTTTTGTTGGATTGAAGAGATAGAGAAATGGTTGCCTGATGTTTTACCTCACCAAATAAATCTTGTCCATTGTGGTACTGATGCCAAGTAATTATATTCTATTGGACCATATAATTTAGGCACAAAACTGGATGCTGGTGTTAAAAAAAATTTAATAAAACAAAAAAATAAACTATAGGTTTAAAATAATTTTCTAATAACTTGTTAAAAATAACTTTTCTCTTTTAAATATGTATTTTTAATATATATTGTACTAAACTCTAAACTGTATACTTTTAGTCCTGTTTTGTAGTCTTCATCTAAGTTTCAAGTAACATATATTTTTTTTCAAAGAGTGTTTATTTTTTTTCAATTCTCAGTGGCATAGACAATAGCCCCATCACTCTTGTGACTTACGGGCTGCTGAGAATGCCCACCAGCAGACTTGTCAGAGAGGCAATAGAAGCGCGTCAATTCAAAGTCATCATTTGTGATGAATCCCATTATCTTAAGAACCACAAGAGCTTGTCCACCAAAACGGTTATTCCTCTAATAAAAAAAGCCAACAGACGGATTTTGCTCTCTGGCACTCCAGCGTTATCAAGACCAGTTGAGGTTGGTCACATTTTTTTTACTTTCTTTAAAACAGTGGTTCTCAACCTTGGTTCAATCAAACCCAAGTGACAGTGAGGTTCGTCACATTTTTGTTACTTACTTTAAAACAGTGGTTCTCAACCTTGGTTCAATCAAACCCCAGTGACAGTGAGGTTGGTCACATTTGTGTTACTTTAAAACAGTGGTTCTCAACCTTGGTTCAATCAAACCCCAGTGACAGTGAGGTTGGTCACATTTTTGTTACTTACTTTAAAACAGTGGTTCTCAACCTTGGTTCAATCAAACCCCAGTGACAGTGAAGTTCGTCACATTTTTGTTACTTACTTTAAAACAGTGGTTCATAACCTTGGTTCAATCAAACCCCAGTGACAGTGGTTAGGTGAGTTTGTCTCAGGGGTCTGGCGTGGATAAAGACACACGTCTGACTCTTGATTCACGATGATTTTATGGACAATAGAACTATTAAGAAGGGTACTGTGAGTACCCTTCGTTACCTCCAAAAAGGTTAAGAACCACTGCTTTAAAAAAAAGTTATTTTCTGTTGTGTTACACTAGATGGCGAAGCATATAGATTCTTAAAGCACAACATATTACTGTTAAATAAGTTGTTTACAATTCACAAAACTCTTTGTACATGTTAAATTTATTGTTGATGTTTGCATACCACCACGACATGATGGCACTACCAAAACTACTGTGATCATGCCACCACCATTTCCAGCACCATTTTTATTATCAACCAACACCATGATCACTATCAGCACATCATTTTTCACATCAAACCCAAAATTGACAGCATTACTAGCATCAATTGTTATCTTTAGAATTGGTTACTTGATAAAATATCTCGGGGAAAAAATATCCAACCATCTCCAAAACCATCCTCAAATATGCTTTGTATTTAAAAAAAAGTAGTTCCTTTTTTTGAACCTGACAGTCCATGGGGCAAGTGAAGTAGTTCACCAGTTTCTGTGACCTCAGCATAAGAAGAGATAGTGCAGCCAGCACTTTGCCCAGCCACCTTTACTTTCCCAAAAGTGAGTTAGGTACCCATCAGAGCTGGGTGGGCTCAGGGACATTCTACTGACTTAAAAAACTGGATTCTAATTTGAGACTTTTGGGGTAGCAGTCTACTGCTCTACCGCTAGACCACACCCCCCCTCCCCCCCCATCCTCAAATATGCATTATATATACATATTAATGTTATAACTTTCTTATTTGAAAACATTTTTTTCTACCTGTAAATCTTAAGACATAACTGACTATCCCACCAACACAAGTAGATTTTAAAACCTCCCCACAGTTGTTTTTTTTTTATGTCCGACACTTTGTTTCCAGCTGTACCCCCAAATTGATGCCATCTGCCCCAACCAGTTTGGCACATTCTGGAAATACACAGAACGTTACTGTGATGCACACACTGTGTTCTTTGGCAAGTTCAAAAAAAGAGAATGCAAGTAAGTTTGTATAATATCCTCATTAATTTTTGTTGATTTAATTAAATTAAAGGTAGTTTTATTAAATTTTTTTATTACATTGTAAAAGTATAATAGCCTTTAAAAAAACATAGCTGGTTAAATCAAGAAGCATATTTCACTTCAGACTTAAACTTTTTTTATAATTAAATTCATGGGATTTTGTCTAAGATATTTTTTTTTTTTATAAAACAGATTCAAAATTAAAAAATCTGTTTCTGTTTACTTATTTTTATCACTTAAAAACCAAAAGACTTTATTTCAATTCACACTTAAAAGAAGCAATAGATGCAAGTTACTTCCCTTATAAAATATTCCCATGAAACCACACATTGACATTGTGTACTTACAATCTTAGTGGCGCCAGTAACCTCCTGGAACTTCAGCAGAAGTTGACCAGCCTGCTAATGATCAGACGTGAAAAAAGTGAGGTACTGACTGAACTACCTCCTAAACAGAGGCAGCGAGTTTTATTTGAATTAAAAGATTCTCCAATGAAAAAGGTAGTTCAGTTTTTGCTACATCAAAGTTTTATGACTGGGAGTTTATCATATACCTATATTCCTAAAATTCCTCAAAATTATTTTTTTATGAATTTTCATTGGTATTGCTGGTACCTCTAGTTAAAACTCAATGTTTTTTTTTTATAATGCCACCTAGAGGCAAATTATTCCTAAATACCTTTAAAACTCCATCTTTCAGGAAATACTAAAAAGTTTTGCTGAGCTCAGACAAACAATTGTCCAAGGTAAAGGAGGCATTTTACATCCAGACCAATATTTGGACACGGAATCACGAGCCGACCAGAGCGTACACTACCAGATATCTAAACTCTATAAATTGAGTGGGGATGCTAAAGTAAGGACAAGTTTTAGCATAATATTTATTCAATTTAATAAACCTTTGCAAAAGCATCTAAAATTTTTAAGGATATTTATTCAATTTGTTTTTTTTGTGTCGGTTATGCTAGCAGTTTAAAATATATATAAATATATATAAATATAAAAAAAAAAAATTAGGCAGATGAGGCTTGTTAGCTGGGAACAGCCACTCTTCTAGGAGGGACAACTTGGTTGTTCTTGGTTGGACAAAGGCTATGGAAGCAAATCCAAAAAGAAAAGCAGGCTGAAATCAGTGTCGATGGCCTAAATGGCGCATAACCAGTTGACATGTATACTTAATTGTGTTGGAGGTGGTCCCTTCCAGCACTAAAATAAAAGAAGAAGAAAAAAAAAAAAAATTTATTAAAGGGAAGCAATTTTTTGTATACACATAAAAGAAAAGAAGACCTATTAGTATATAAAAATTACAACTTGTATTTGTTTATTATCTTAGACTAGGATTATAAAAAAAACATATCTCATGCTTATAATTGCAGATAGGTCCAGTGCGAGAGTACATAGAAATGTTGTGCGAGAACGAAGAGTTAAAGTTCCTGGTGTTTGCGTACCACCACGACATGATGGATGGGATACAACAGACACTGTGGGAGAAGAAAGTCAAGTTTGTCAGAATAGATGGAAAAACAAACAGCGCTGATCGGCAGGTACATAGAATAAAAATTATTCCCTTTGGGTTTTTAAATTTTTTAAAAACATTGGTATTATTACAGTGTTACCAAATTTTATGTTATTAATTTATAGAATTTTTTTTTAACACCAAACTTTTTTTCAGGTTTATGTAAAACAATTTCAGTCAGATAAAGATACTAGGGTTGCGGTACTTAGTATACTCGCAGCAGGTGTGGTAGGTATTTTATTAAAAAATTTACTATGTAGACTCTCAAAATATTTGAATTAAAAAAAAACGTTATAATTTTTAAATCCTTTATTTATTTTTGGGTGAGCAATTAAAATGAACCATTTTCGATAACAAAATTTAATTCTTTAAACAGTTTATATAAACCAGGATCTTTTTTACTTGGCTTTTGAGAACAACTTTTCATATACTAAAATCTTAAAGCTAGTTAATGAGTTTAAATTTCACTCTCAGGGTCTAACATTTACTGCAGCAAACTTGGTTGTATTTGCGGAGCTGTACTGGACCCCTGGGGTCATGGTGCAGTGTGAGGACAGGGCCCATCGTATCGGACAGACCAGCAACTTGTCAGTTCATTATCTTGTTGCCAGGGGAACTATGGACGAGTGGGTGTGGTCAGCCGTGTGTAAAAAGGTAAACAAAAACAAACAGGCAATAGTTGTAGTTATTTAATAAATAATTTTTTTTCTCTCTAAAACAATGTTTATTATAACTGTAAAACATATTAACTTATGCTACCCTAAGTGTAAACAATAGAAAGATTGTTTTGGTGCAATATTTAGTTAATTTTAGTCAATATAACTTCACTAAAAATTTGATTACAGTTGTCTACATTTTTCTGTGTCAAGTAGTAACATTTTAGTTTTAAACTCATCTCATTGAACTGTGACCCTGTAAATACATTAACACCTCGTGATCTACTTAATTAACTGTCCTGTCCAGACTATAGTCACAAGCACAGCTCTAACTGGCCACACCAGACAACTGGACCACGAAGAAGGTGAAGGTTACCAAGTGGCCTTGCTCTCTAATGCTGACATGTGGGAGCCTGAGAAGGTCAAGGCTGATGTTAATGTATCTGACCTGGTACAGAACCAACGGGTATGATCAACAAATACTTGTTTCTTTATACACTGATAATCAGTTTATTAGATTAAATAAATAACAACTTTTAAAGTTTGTTTCTTTGCATGCTTGACTATTTTAAAAAAAGTGTTAAGTGTAAAATTAAAGAACATAATTATTTTGATTAACTGTCTGTCATCAAAGTAACATTGTTTTAAATAAATTAAAAATATTGAATTTTTGAATGCTTAATATAAATACACCTTCTTGTTTTGTGTGTACTGTGTTCTTTATGTTCATATTTTTATATCAATCCAAACTAGCTGAAACATTTTTCCTAATTTCAGCCAGCAAACCAAAGCTCCATCCTTGAGTTTTTCAGCTCACAGCAAACGTCCACTCCAAAATCAGCCATCCGTAAAAGAAAATTTTCAACAGAGCAAGACAAATCCCACCGTAGCTTTCTAGGAATAAATTCTGAGAAACCCTCATCTAGTCATTGCACAGGATCTAAAGATACATTGTCCCTTGAAGGTTCTAATGCGCTCAAGTCTAAATCAACCAAAAAAATGAAGCTGTCAGATATTGTTGTCGTCAGTGATGATGATGATGAAACAGCATTCAAATGTGATAATAAAAAGTCGAAAGCAACAACTAAAAAGAAAAAGAAACCAAAACCAGATACTATTAGTTCACAAAAGCTGCTTGGCAGTAAAAAAGTTGTAAGAGATAAAGAAAAATCTTCTTTAAAGTTGGATACAAGTATTTCTATAATTCTAAGTGATGAGGAAAGTAATCCTTTACCTAGTGCTGTATGTGGTCCAAATGTTTCTGGTACAAAGTTTTTTGGTCAAGGTATTCCTAATTCAGATAGACCTAAGGAATCTGAAAATCTTACTGTCAATGAGGCTATAGATGAACAAGATAATGTGATGAATAGTACAAGTTTTGTAAAATCAAAAGATTCTCATCCAGATGAAGCTGCATCAGAAAAGCTCAGTACCATTTCACCAGGGGTTTCCAACGCTGGCACAGTACATGATGAACCAGATTTTAATATAACTGATGACACATTTTTTGAAAGCCCCACTAAAATGGGTGACAATAGTAATATTGAAACTAATTTAAATTCTCCTATGGAGGAATGTGATGTAAAAGTTGATGCATTTACAAATGAAACTGTAGCCTCATCCAAAGATCAAGATGCCAAGACACCAGTCAAACATCCAATGGTTTCAGTCCTAGAATCACATGACCAAACCGATGCTAACCATTGGTCCTGTAAAGCCTGCACATACTTAAATCACTTAGACCTTCCCCACTGTGAAATTTGTGACACACCAAAAAGTAAAAATCGTGTTTGTAAAAATCAACGAAACAATGCAAGAACTAAAGTAAAACGTGAAATCAATTCTTCAGGTTCAACTAAAAAACAGACAATGTCAAAAGAAATCTTACATTCTAAGGTTGATGAAAGTTTAGAAATTGAAAAAAAATCTAAAATGTCATCAGGTCAAGATCAGCTTGACCCTCTACATCAGGAGTCTGAACTTGAGGTTAATTCCTCACCATTTACAAGAATCAATGGCTCTTCAGACTCACCACTTTCCAGAAACAAGAGACATAAACCCATCAAACACGAGGCTTCATGTTCTAGTGAAGAATCAATCCTTAAAACTTTGTCACCTGATTCTATGCAAATGTCTTCTTCATTAGATAATTCTAAAAGTTCCGAACAATTAGAAACCAAATTTAATAATTCAATAGAAAGTAATTCTAATACAAATAAAAGCTCTGAACAATTAGAAATGGACGTAAATAATTCAGATAAAGAACCAACAGCCAAAACCCTACCTGGTTTTATGAATATTGAACCAACAGAAAATAATTCCGTGTGTGAAAGTTCTAATCAGTTGGCAGCCAAGGCAGATAACTCAATCAGCACAGATGGTGAGAATGCAGGGGAAGGGCAGATAATTCCTGTACATCAAGTTTTCAAGTACAGCTGCAGCTTGTACACTGGACGGATATATGTTTATGATGAGGTATGTGTGTACTTTCTGAGGTGATGTATGTGATGGGGCAATGATTTTTGTTAAGATAATGCTGACAAAAAGGGATAGCGTGGTCGGATGGTAGAGCTTAGGACTACCACTTGAAAGTTTTGAGTTTGGATCCCCTACTCAGTTTGGCTTGGATGCTTTTGAGTCCACTCAGCTATAATGGGTACCTGACTCACATTAGGGAAACTAAGACTGCTGGGCACAGTGCTGACCACACTGTCCCCTGTATACAGAGGTTACTGAAGCAGATTAATTCCATTTTTCTTGGCTACCAACAGTAAAAAATGAATGAGGACAAATACATAAATGATGATGTAAAAATGATGATAATCAGTAGATGTTCTCAATCAATGTAAAGTTTATTTATTAACTCTTTTATTGCATTGGCTCAAGATCCACAGTGATATCATTGTTTAGTTTGTTTATCTTTATCCCATCAGATAACTATAACTTAAGTCTGACCCATACAAGTTGTTAGCCTGTCATCTTACTGGGACATATGCCTTTCTGGCAATTCTGTCCTGGCTAGTTTTTTTAAATGTCTTCCATATTAGTACCTTGAGTCACTCCTGTCTCTAGATTCTTCTTACCTATTTCTTTCTATAGGACTGCATTATGTTTTTTCTTTTTATTTTATCTGTGTGGCGGTTAAAAAACTATCCGTTAATGTACTTTTTAAAAAAATGTGTCTGTTAGAGCGGAATGTCTCTAGATGCAAACTTCCATCCCATGGACATCGAGGTAGGAAATTTTGATGATTTGCCAGAGTTGCTTCAGCTGCCTCAACATCAGAAACTGATTAAAAAATTCACTAGGGAGTGGTCAAGGTGAGGGTCAAATTTTTATTTCCTTTGGTTTCTCTGAAAAAAAACCCAGCATGGTTGGTTGGTAGAGTGCATGACTGGGAACCGAATAGTCTCAACTTTACTTTGTTTTATCAGATCAAAATCATTTGTAGAAGCATTATTTTAGTGTTTTCATATATTTCTTATTCTTGATGTAAACAATACTCCTGGATATTTTTATTTCTTAGAAAATTTCTGATGAAATCGGCTAAAACTTAAAAAAAAACAACCAACTAGCACTGTAAGGTTGTTTTTAAATTTAAATTTTGTATCTTTCCATACCTATCATAAACTTTTTATAAAAATTAGCCTTAAATTTCTGTCATACGGTTATCTTAGCCCATATTAAACAAAAATAAATTTGATTGCCAAAATTAAACTGTATCTACTTCAGTTAAAATTTCTGTCCTTCAAATGTCTTAGCCTATCAGAAACAAAAAGAAAGTTGATTGCCAAAAGCGGACTCTACTTCACCAGCCCACTGGCTGTGTACGAGGCAGTAAAGACAACTACGGGAAGCAAACAGAGACATTTCACAAAGGTAAAAAACTAAAACCGTTATAAAACTTATTGAAAAGGAACTGAAACAATTAATAAACTTTATATATTAAAGGTTGTCTCAGTCAATGAGTATTTAAATACATTTTCTACAGACTTCTTAACCTTTTAATTCCTAGAATAATATTTTTTCACATTTAATTTTACTCAGTTTTAGGATTTTAATTGCATAAAAATTCATAAACATCTAAAAAATAAAAATTTTTTATTGAAAAAAAAAAAGAATTTCATTGTTCAAACTTAACTTCTCTGTAATCTTATATATGCAGGAAGACAATATAATGACAGCCATTAAGCGTGCAGAAAACATCAAGGGTTCTGTTAGGATGATAGCTAAGCATTCAGAGATACCGACAAATATAAATAATTCAGAAGATTTAAAAATGAAAGGTATTGTGCAGGTGAGAGTAATTTAAAAAAAAAATTAATTTTAATAACTAATAATTATTTTTTACTTGTATTATTACTGTATTTACATGGATTATGAAAAAAATACTAGGAACAATTACCTGTAGGTAATTTTTAAAAACTATATTTGAATTTTTATTTATGCACACAAAAATAGATTGATCTACTTATAAATTTGCCAACAGGTTGTATTTAAATTATGTTTTTTGATGGTACAACTAGCCTAAACCTTATCCTTGCCTTAATCTTAAAGCTAGACCTGGCCATACTAGCCGTAGAAGACCTTGTTAAGATAAAGTATTGTCCCACAAGTGTTTCTGTTAGCAAAGTTTTTGACCTCTGTGTTTAGACAGTGACAGAGGAAGGCGTGCCAGTTTGTCTGCAGTGCCAGAAACCTTACTCTAACCCCCTGCTGTCTGCTGAGACAATATCAAAGCCAGAGAATGCCTGGCAACTCAGGCTGTGTTCACATGCCTGTATGGATAAATATTGGGTAGGTGTGGCTATTATAGATAAATATTGGGTAGGTGTGGCTATTATAGATAAATATTAGAAGTGGCCATTATTTGGGCTTGCATATTAGGTAAAGTAAAAAGTAGTAAAGTTTCCCTTTCAAACCTGATGGTCTGTGGGGCAAGTGAAGTAGAGTTCACTTGTTTCTGTGGCCTCGGCATATGAAGAGATAGTGTGGTCAGCACTATGCCCAGCCGCCTTTACTTTCCCTAACGGGAGTTAGGTACCCATCAGAGTTGGGTGGACTCAGGGACGGTCTACTGACTTGAACCCGGATTCGAACTCGAGACTTACGAGTTAGCTGTCCAGCTCTCTACCGCTAGACCACTCCGTCCCATTAAATATTAGGAGTGACCAATATTTGGGCTTGCATAGATAAATATTAGGAGTGGCCATTATTTTGGGCTTGCATAGATAAATATTAGGAGTGGCCCTTATTTAGGGCTTGCAAGATTAATATTAGGAGTGGCCATTATTTTGGGCTTGCATAGATAAATATTAGGATTTGTTTAGGAGTGGCCATTTTTTATTGGCTTGCATATTATGAGTAGCTGTTATTTCAAACATTCATATTATGTAATAACGAGTTGTTTAATAACCAAACTTAAATTTGATCACTAACTTGCCTTAACAATTGAAGGAATTATAATGTTTAAATCAAGATGTTTTTTCTATTCCTGTCTTCTGTTAATTAGCTTCAATTTTTTTACTTGTTCAGACAATAACCAAGGGAAGCTACTGTAGAGACAAAATCTATGAGATTGAACATGGAGTCTGCAAGTTGTGTAACTTTGATGCCCAGGCTTTGTTCACCCAGGTTAAGTAAGTATAAACTTACTTTAAAAACTTGTTAATATTTATAATAACTAGTAACTAGTTTTTTTTTTATTAAAAATTTTTTCTTTCTAAATTTTTCTGTTACAAGCTGTAAAATTATGAAATTTTTTTTTGGCCTTGACCAAAATGTCATACATTGTGATGAGTAAGCTGTAATTGGTTTTCTATTTATTATTCCTTTTGCAGGTTTGTTAAAGACTTGACTACAAGAGCTGATCTAGTTAACAAAAGCCCTTACCAAACCTTGACATGCAAACAAAAACAGAAGATGATAGAAACCCCAATGGCTGGTCAGGTGGGTCATAGTAAATTTTTTGGCCGATGCTAGCCGGAATAAGATACGCATGCGATACGCATGCGCAATGGAGAGAAACTGCGACTTGCCTTCGCGGCGATGTTTTCGATGGTACTGCGCATGCGTGTGTTTACAACCGCAGAACCCTAACACCAACCCTAATCCTATCCCTAACCCTATCCCTAATCCTATCCCTAACCCTAACCCTAGCCCTAATCCTATCCCTAATCCTATCCCTAACCCTAGCCCTAATCCTATCCCTAACCCTAATCCTACCCCTAACCCTCATTCTAGTCCTAACCCTAGCCATAGGTCACTGCGCATGCGCAGAGCTATCTTTTGCCGACTAAGTGGAGACGTTAGGGAGAAAAATCTTCTTCCGAGTAGACACTTCAAAATTTTTTACTGCTGTTTTTTTATTTTATTTTTTAATTTAGCTACAGATGAGGATTTCTTATTGGTAAAATTTTAGCTCATACATTTGTAATATTGGTTTATTTTTTTTTTTCAAATAATTAAAAAACAAAAATTTAAATTTTTATTTTTAGTTCTGGCATGTTGACCACATCGTGCCAGTTTGGCAGGGCGGGGGCATGTGCGACCTTGACAACCTACGCACGCTGTGCACACTCTGCCACCTGAAGGTCACCCGCAGGCAAGCCACCCAAAGAGCATCCATGAAGAAACTCAGCCTCTCTTTCAGCAATGGAGACATTACAGCATTCTTTCAAAAACAATAGCAGTTAAAAATTCTGGACTAGTAGAAGAATTCTTCATAAATTTAATGTACAGAGTGTTCTATTTATTGTTACAAACTATACTTTCCAATTGCTACATAACAACCAGGCCACTCTTCATTAGGGAATTTAAATAGTTTTTAAGCTATTACTTTCACATTTTAGTTCCACCACAAGAAAGGACAGCAGTTATATCTTAGTTATTAATTCCATTGAATTCCATTAATCCAATACATAATATAATTAAAGACTAGGTCTATACCAGACATAATCTGTATCTATTTGATTAACCTTTATTGATAAATTATAACACATGAATCCAAATTAATTATTGTAAAACATGTTTAATTGTTATTAGGTGTTGATATGCAAAGAAACTACGATTTTTAATATCCATTTTGTGGTTTATCTTTCTCAATATCCTCAGACTTAACATAGGTCAAAGATTGTTAAACCTTTTTTTTTAAAAAAAAATAAGGAATCATTTCATTATTTGTTTTTGCTAAAACATATTTACCAAGCAGAACATAGTACTGCAAATTAATTTTTTTTGTATCTTTGTTGAAATTTTATCAAAGGTTATAGATACATTACTTTTAGTTTTTTTTCAGTAACAAGTTTTTAAATCCAATGAAAACAAGAACAGTTAATTAAACAAAAAAACTGCACAAGGTTACCTACCCTTGATAAAGGTGATTGTATTTTTTTACAAACTTGAACATGTATAGATTGGTAAGTCTTGAACACCCATTTCTCTTATTTTAATTTATTTTTTTAAAATTGAACTATTCTCTTAGTGAAAATAAAAATAAAGTAAAAAAACAAGTACATGCATATGAATGATTTACAAACTTAGTAAAATAACATTTTCTATCAGAAGCTGAATGTTATTGTGAAATTGATATCTTTCAAATATGTATTTATAAATAACTAAAATAATTTATTATTTATTTTTTTCTTTATTGTGCATGTCAATGTTACATTAAAAAAATTGTTGAAATAAGTTAATAGTTTGTTGCCATGATTAAAATAGCGCCTATTCTAAAGGTTTGTGGATACATTTGTACATTTAAAAATGTAGTGTGTTGAATAAATTGGAAGATTTAGAACATATTTTAAAAAAATAGATTTATGGAATTAGAACTTATATTTGTGGATAAATTTGTGGATTTATAAGTTAGAACAATTTTTTAATTGATGGATAAAATGAATGAATTAAGAATGTAACATTTTTGGATAATTTATGTATTTAGCTAGAACAAAGTTTATTGGATAGATTTAAAGATTTAGTATCTACCTCTGATGTTTAAAAATTTCTATTTCACACATCCAAATCACTATAAATTATTAAAAAACTTTTTTCTTGTAACTTATAAGACAGCCAAGCATAGAGGACTAAATAAAGCTACAGATCAGTGGGAACAACAAATACATGGTCAAAAAACACCCAATGGCATATAACAGTTGTGTTGACCTTTTGTAAATTACTGCATATTTGACATTTAGTAAAAAGATGGCCTATATGACATTTAGTAAATGGATGGACTATGTGACATTTAGTAAATGGATGGACTATATGACATTTAGTAAATGGATGGACTATGTGACATTTAGTAAACCACTGGTGCAGTTTGATCAGGGTTATTACCTAAGGATGGAACATCACTTCTTCTCCCTATTCTTCTCTGAAAATATAATATACATATATATATAAATATATATATTTATATATATATATATATACACACACATATATATATATATATATATATATATATATATATATATATATATATAAATATAAATGTAAGCATCATTTATGTATGTGTGTCATGTATATGTATACATATGTATACATCATCCATGTATATGTATTCATCATATATGTATGTATAAATTTATAGATACATATATATATATATATATATATATATATATATATATATATATATATATATATATATATATATATATATATATGTGTGTGTGTGTGTGCATAAAGTATACATATTCCTCACTTAGGGATGTAAACTGATTGCCACTGAGAGCAGACACCGCCTTACATATAAACCTATAGGGGGTCGGCGTGGTCGAGTCGGTAAAGCTCTGGTTGCTAAACCGAAAAGTCACGAGTTCGAACCCTCGGGCAGATGAGGCTCGTTAGCTGGGGACAGCCACTCTTCTAGGAGAGACAACTCCAAACAACTGCTGCCTTGTAGTTTGTTCTTGGTTGGACAAAGGCTATGGAGGCAAATCCAAAAAGAAAAGCAGGCTGAAATCGGAGTCAATGGCCTATATGGCGCATAACCAGTTGACACGTAACGCTTAATTGTGTTGGAGGCGTGGTCGAGTCGGCAAAAAGCTCATGGTTGATACATTCGAACAAAGTCTCGAGTTCAAACGGACTGGCAGATAAATCTCGATCCCCTTCAACACTAATAATTAAGAACGAAGAAGAAGATAAACCTATATAGTGACAAACAATCCCCGACAATAGCATGAGCTAAAGATGATACCAGATACAACCCAACAAAAATGTTCTTGAAAAGTCGATACACGTTTCAGAACTGACCAGTGATTCTCCATAGAGGGGTATTCCCCCGCAAAAAGTCTGCATGGACCTCCATTAGACAGCATCCTACCATTAAATCTATAGACAGGCATCAACGCCTTCAACAAGGTGATGAAAATGGACCCCGCGTGATCACAGTTTTTTTCTAAACCTACACATTGAAAAACAAATCCTCCATGGATCCCTATAAACCTATCAAGCCTACTCTCATTAACCTGCATATCATCTGGGCATTAGTCGTATGCAGGACCGTGTGGTCAGCGCCACGCACAGGTTGTATATAGATCTATATATTTTAATCTTTATCCTTGTTTAAACCAATGACAGATACCGATTTCAAGTTTCAAGACTTGTTTGTGAGATATCGTCTACAGAGTTTCTTCCAGGCATCTCTTTTCTCCCGAAAAAATTCTACCCCCCCGAACGAAATGAAATTTATATAATTTATATAGAAAATATATACGTTTAACTGTGTCCGCCCCCCCCCCCCCCAAGAAAGTCTACCCCCCCCCTCTCCCGAAAATTTCAAGTGGCCCCCGGAGAAAAAAGTCTGGAAGAAACACTGATCGTCTAAGATGTGCTTGGCTTTAACAACTCAGTTCTCGTTTCACACTTGGGTAGGCCGTGAGTACGAGTCTAGCCTCTACCCAGATATTCTAATTCATTAAACGTGAGATGGTGACTGGAAAGATGCGCAACGGAAAAAAATGCGCAACGGAAAACTGATTATAAAAAAAGTGCGCAAGTATTTCTAGACATGAACGGAATGTGAAAAGATCTACATGTACACTGTAGCATAATAAAACATTTACACGGAATAGTTTGTATTTGCGCATTTTTCTGTTCGCGCAGTTTTCCGATTGCGCCTTTTTCTTCTTCTGGGAACCACTTTTGATACATCTAGTGGCGTCACAAGGCGGGGTGGAGGGTGCTGTCCGCACCGGGTGACATGATTTAGGGGGTGACACAAGACAGAAAAATCGTAGAATGTCCAGGCAAAACTATATTTTATCTACCATTGGAAAAAAAAACAAGTAGAGAAGGTATTGCACGAAACCGAAAATGCCAAAAAAATATTGAAAAGGGGATGGGGGGTGACAGCCTCTTTCCCCGCACCAGGTAACACCCGACCTAGTGACGCCCCTGGAAACATCTAAGTCAAATTATAAATAGTATGCCTGTTAATTTAGTTAAAACAAATAATTCGTGAACTGTTGCCTTAACATTTGCGTTTGTTTGTTTCAGGGGGGGGGGTGGTGGAAAATCTTACCGGCTGGCTTAAAAAACTAGTCCGGCGCTCTCGAAAAATATAATCATGGTCGCTCTCCTGAAAGAAAGACAATGTGCTGGTGGTACCGTTAGTATCAAGGAATGGTGTAGTCCCTCCCTCATACAGTGAAGATTCAGACAGTATCAGTTCCGGTTGCGGGAGTTGTTCCCTAAACGGAATCAACAAACTTATGCGCTGCAGGTTCTTTTTGGTTTGGAACTGGTAAAATAAAGTTTCCACTTTTTAGACGTGAACTGGCAAGTAAACAAAAAGAAAGAAAGGATTAGAAAGTTTTGACATTTTATTTTTATTTTTATTTAAAAAAAAATGTTAACTAAGATTTTTAAGTAAACAAAAAGAAAGAAAGAATCAGAAAGGTTAGACTTAAAAAAAAAGAATTATTATTAATTAAAAAAAATTAAAGTTAGTTATATTGAATAAAGGGAGAAAGGGGGGGGGGGTTATTTTTAATTTTTTTTATCTCTTTTGTTGTATATCACACATTTGAAAAAAAAAGTTTGTTACAATCCTCCAAGACTCAAATTAAAATCAAAACAATAAAGCGAAGAAGGTGAAACTAATTACCGACAGGTAGATGTTGCCGATGATGAGGATGAAGACGTAGAGGAAAGAGTGGATCTCTGCCAGCAAGGCATCCACGGCGGCCGAATACTTGCCCTCCAGGCAGATTCTAGGTGGGCAATGGTTGTATAGAGTGGGAGGAGAAATAAAGGTTAATCAATTTTGGCAGTGGCGTAGGCAGGGGGGGGTTTAGGGGGGGTCATAACCCCCCCATAGACCCCTCGGTGTATATATATATATATAAAGTATGAGGGGGGGGGGGTGCAAATCGAAAGTTTGAGGGGGGGGGGGTGCAAATCGAATGTTTGAGGGGGGTGTGTGTGAAAATCGAAAGTTTGGGGGGGGGTGCAAATCGAAAGTTTGAGGGGGGGGGGTGCAAATCGAAAGGGGGGGGGTGCAAATAGAAAGTTTGAGGGGGGGACGGACGCAAATCGACAGTTTGTTCCCGGGTAAAAATTGGAACCCCCCCCCCCCCCTTGAGACGATCCTGGCTACGCCACTGTATTTTGGACAATGTTTGTATAGAGTGGGAGGAGATATCAACATTACATTTTTTGTTGTTGTTGTCTATGTGACAACAGTTATATGCTGGTAGCCAGAGGGGGGGGGGTTTACTAAAACTGGTGGAAACTGGTTCTAGTATATATTTTCCATCAGTGTTTCTTCCAGACTTTTTTCTCCGGGAAGGGGGGGGCACTTGAAATTTTCGGGGGGGGGGGGGGGGCGTGGTAGATTTTCTTTGGGGGGGGGGCGGACACTGTTAAAAGTTTATATTTACTATATAAATTATATAAATTTCATTTCTTTCGGGGGGGGGGGGGGGGGGTAGAATTTTTTCGGGGGAGGGGGGGGGGCTTTGACCCCCCCCCCCCCGAATAGATGCCTGGAAGAAACTCTGTTTTCCATATAAGCTCGTTCGTGTGGGGGAGGGTTGTCGGCAGAAGTGCTTGAGGGTGCGGTATGTCCAACCCCCCTCAGAAGAGATGCATGTAAGAAACACTTTCTAAATTGAGTGTCACTTATTTTTTTTGTATATATATATATATATATATATATATATATATATATATATATATATATATATATATATATATATATATATTTAAGCTTTATGTAAACACTTTCAAAATTGAGTGTCACTTATTTTTTTGTATATATATATATATATATATATATATATATATATATATATATATATATATATATATATATATATATATCGTCAACTTCAAGTTTTTATTGCCTTAGTAGCATTGACTACACAATTAAGTAATGCATTTCTCACCTATCTAAAGCTCCACAACTTTACATCCTAACTTAGGTCTACAGCTACCCCAGGACAAGGACCTACCTAGCGAAGTAGAGGGCGACACCGCCGTACAGACCAACGGTCAAGGCCAGGTAGTCGACGATGGTATCACACGTGTGGTTGGTGGCGTAGGCGCTGGTCACCAGGAAGAGGGAGAGCATGATGAGCACGTTCTCGACTGGGGAGGGATTTGAACGGGGTGAGTACGTTCTTTATGGGGGAGGGATTTGAACGGGGTGAGTACGTTCTTTATGGGGGAGGGATTTGAACTGGGTGAGTACGTTCTTTATGGGGGAGGGATTTGAACGGGATGAGTACGTTCTTTATGGGGGAGGGATTTGAACGGGGTGAGTACGTTCTTTATGGGGGGGGGGGGATTTGAACTGGGTGAGTACGTTCTTTATGGGGGAGGGATTTGAACGGGGTGAGTACGTTCTTTATGGGGGAGGGATTTGAACGGGATGAGTACGTTCTTTATGGGGGAGGGATTTGAACGGGGTGAGTACGTTCTTTATGGGGGGGGGGATTTGAACTGGGTGAGTACGTTCTTTATGGGGGAGGGATTTGAACGGGGTGAGTACGTTCTTTATGGGGGAGGGATTTGAACTGGGTGAGTACGTTCTTTATGGAGGAGGGATTTGAACTGGGTGAGTACGTTCTTTATGGGGGGGATTTGAACGGGATGAGTATGTTCTTTATGGGGGGGGGGGGGAGGGATTTGAACTGGGTGAGTACGTTCTTTATGGGGGGGGGGGATTTGAACGGGATGATCAAGTTCTTTATGGGGGAGGGTTAAACGGTTCGCTTTTTCCGGTAGACGTTTACATTTCCGTTCGACTAGCCATTGTTGATACGATAGAATTTACGGCCGTGCTAGGTTAAGGTTAGGGTCGAGCATGTGGCAGCCTCGAGTTCGGATCCCACTCATGTCTCTAGCATAACCACGATCCATTAGTGTCGGAGGGGGGGGGGACGGACTAAATTTCCCGGGTAGGGGGGGGGGCGACTAATACAAGTATATATTTTCTATATAAACTGTTTTATTTTGTTCGAGTGGAGGGGGGGGGGGGACGAAGAGGTGCCTGAAAGTAACACTCCTGTGAGTTGTGTTAATCATAGCATCCGCTCTTACCAGTTATACATCAACTCTACATCGTCTATACAAAACTGACCCAGGCTAAGCGACCTAGTCTATCTAAAAATTAACCCCCGACTTTCAAAGGGACTTAGGCACATTGGTACATAACAGCCTAAACCAGTTGGACGAGTTATCCCATGAAAACACAGGCCTTTATGAAGCAAGGAGACACAATAAAGAAGAAGCCATTAGCACATTTAAGATCCACGAATGAATGAAAATCCGTCTACTGATAAGACAAGGTTTCGCTTGAAGGAATCTACTTTTGGGATGATCCAAATTTGCTTTAAACACCAAACACCGTGAAGATGAGTTAAGCCATTATTTTTCACGCATCAGCGGATTTTCCGTTGCATTAAAAATGAAATAAAAAATTAATCGCGATAAATGATCTTGCAAGAAAAGTTTTAAACCTCTAACATAAATTGCTTTTGGGTGATCTCCCTGCAAAGATGGCATTAGCATAGGGCGGTTGGTTGGTGCCAGTCCATTGCGAATAAAAAAAATATTCAACGGCGTAACTAAGCTGGGTAACTGGGGGGGGGGGGCATACCAGGACTGCACTTAATTGATATACAAGCACACACACACACACACACACACGTGCGCACCGACACGCATACGTACACCACCATGATAACGAGATCACACAGAAAAACCACCAACAGAACACCCTGATCTCGAGATCACACACAGAAAACCCACTAATAAACAAATAGTCCTGGTGGCGTGACGTCATGCAGTACTTTGTATCATGTGGGTAGAGGAGAAACCACGTGGACAAGTACAGGGCCTCCATCACCATACACACGCAGATGAACACAGAAGGTAGCCAGATACATGTGTTTGCTTCTGGGAATTGGATTTGGCTTTCTCGATAGGACAGTCTGGAAAAAAAAATAATTAAAAACAACCTAAAGTTGTTATTCTAACTTGAAGTTTGTATATTTGTTACGTTTGCATTTTTATATTATTGAGTTTTGTAGTATAGCCTGTCCATTACCTCTTTTATTTAATTAATGGGGAATGAAAGAATGATCAATCATCATCAAAGTTTCTTCCAGATATCTCTTCAGGGGGGGGGGGGGGCTCCGCGGATACAATTTATATAGAAAATATATACTTTTAACAGTGTCCGCCCTACAGGAATTTTAGTCCCACCCCCCCGAAAATTGTATGCTCCCCCGGAGAAAAAAAAAGTCTGGAAGAAACACTGATCATCATAAAATCTGAATAGCTTTCATTCATTTTTATACTATGGTCACCTTTATCACAAGCCCACTCATTTAATATTGATGGTGTCTCTTAGAGCAGTTGGCGACCCTTGTGATGTACATGGTCGTTTAGGTGTAGTTGTTGGTATAAGTGTAGGTGTAGGTGTAGGTGTAGGTGTAGGTGTAGGTGTAGGTGAAGGTGAAGGTGTAGGTGTAGGTGTAGGTGTAGGTGTAGGTGTAGGTGTAGGTGTAGGTGCAGGTGCAGGTGCAAGTGTAAGTGTAAGTGTAAGTGTAAGTGTAAGTGTAAGTGTAAGTGTAAGTGTAAGTGTAAGTGTAAGTGTAAGTGTAAGTGTAAGTGTAAGTGTAAGTGTAAGTGTAAGTGTAAGTGTAAGTGTAAGTGTAAGTGTAAGTGTAAGTGTAAGTGTAAGTGTAAGTGTAAGTGTAAGTGTAAGTGTAAGTGTAAGTGTAAGTGTAAGTGTAAGTGTAAGTGTAAGTGTAAGTGTAAGTGTAAGTGTAAGTGTAAGTGTAAGTGTAAGTGTAAGTGTAAGTGTAAGTGTAAGTGTAAGTGTAAGTGTAAGTGTAAGTGTAAGTGTAAGTGTAAGTGTAAGTGTAAGTGTAAGTGTAAGTGTAAGTGTAAGTGTAAGTGTAAGTGTAAGTGTAAGTGTAAGTGTAAGTGTAAGTGTAAGTGTAAGTGTAAGTGTAAGTGTAAGTGTAAGTGTAAGTGTAAGTGTAAGTGTAAGTGTAAGTGTAAGTGTAAGTGTAAGTGTAAGTGTAAGTGTAAGTGTAAGTGTAAGTGTAAGTGTAAGTGTAAGTGTAAGTGTAAGTGTAAGTGTAAGTGTAAGTGTAAGTGTAAGTGTAAGTGTAAGTGTAAGTGTAAGTGTAAGTGTAAGTGTAAGTGTAAGTGTAAGTGTAAGTGTAAGTGTAAGTGTAAGTGTAAGTGTAAGTGTAAGTGTAAGTGTAAGTGTAAGTGTAAGTGTAAGTGTAAGTGTAAGTGTAAGTGTAAGTGTAAGTGTAAGTGTAAGTGTAAGTGTAAGTGTAAGTGTAAGTGTAAGTGTAAGTGTAAGTGTAAGTGTAAGTGTAAGTGTAAGTGTAAGTGTAAGTGTAAGTGTAAGTGTAAGTGTAAGTGTAAGTGTAAGTGTAAGTGTAAGTGTAAGTGTAAGTGTAAGTGTAAGTGTAAGTGTAAGTGTAAGTGTAAGTGTAAGTGTAAGTGTAAGTGTAAGTGTACGTGTACGTGTACGTGTACGTGTACGTGTACGTGTAAGTCTAAGTCTAAGTCTAAGTCTAAGTCTAAGTCTAAGTCTAAGTCTAAGTCTAAGCGTAAGCGTAAGCGTAAGCGCAAGCGCAAGCGCAAGCGCAAGCGCAAGCGCAAGTGCAAGTGCAAGTGCAAGTGCAAGTGCAAGTGTAAGTGTAAGTGTAAGTGTAAGTGTAAGTGTAAGTGTAAGTGTAAGTGTAAGTGTAAGTGTAAGTGTAAGTGTAAGTGTAAGTGTAAGTGTAAGTGTGGGTGTGGGTGTGGGTGTGGGTGTGGGTGTGGGTGTGGGTGTACGTGTACGTGTACGTGTACGTGTACGTGTACATGTACATGTACGTGTACGTGTATGCGTACATGACTGTACGTGTACATGACTGTACTTGTCTGTAGAATCACTTACTTGTAAGTCTCTATAAGAAGCACAGTGAGGAACAGCCCTAATCCTAAATGGAAGATCGCAAGCTGAGCAAAACAGGCGATGTCTTGGAGATGCGGATCGACGTACGCGGGGTGGAAAAATTTCCAGATGGGGTACTTGGTCAAGTACATCTGCAACAAAATGGTGGGTGGGGTTGGAAGGGGAGGCGGGGTGGGAGGGATAGGTTAAGATAAAGGACATTGTAATCAAAACTATCTTTGAAAAATTAGATTGAAGGTATTTATTTTTCAATGCAATAACATGATATGGGAACTGTCCTTTTTAGATGTATAAAAAGGGAAATTCTATCTAGTTACTCACAGGCAAGACATGGAGGATTAGTATAATAATATGGCGGATTAGTATAATAACATGGTGGATTAGTATAATTCCAACTAGTTACTCACAGGAAAACATGTCGGATTAGTATACTAATATGTGGGATTAGTATAATTCCAGATAGTTATTCAAAAGCAATACATGGCGAATTAGTATAATAACGTAGCGGATTAGAATAATGCTAGCTAGTCATTCACAGGCAGTGTTTCTTCCAGACTTTTTTCTCCGGGGGGGGGGGGCACTTGAAATCTTCTGGGGGGCGGTAAACTTTCTTCGGGGGGGGGGGCGGACACTGTTAAAAGTATATATCTTCTATATAAATTATATAAATTTCATTTCGTTCGGGGGGGGGGGGGCGGTAAAAAAAAATTTTCGGGGGGGGGGGGGGGGGGCAAGCCCCCCCGAAGAGATGCCTGGAAGAAACTCTGTTCACAGGCAAGACATGACTGATCAGTATAATAAACATGGCGGATTAGTATAATCCCAACTAGATACTCACAGGCAAGACATGGAGGCTTAGCATAATTCCAGCGAGACAGATCAGGATGGTGTAGGACTTATCAAACAAGGTATACAGCGGCCACCACATCTGAGGGAACAGCAACAATCATATTACGAGTCTGCGGTGTGGGCTGGTGGGCTGGGGTGGGCAGGGATGGGCTGGTGGGCTGGGACATCGGGACACCAAGAGAGGTCCCTGTGGGACGCCATGAAGGGTGCGATATTATTAGAAAATTTAAGGAAAAAAAAAGTACGAATTTTTATTTTTTTCGCCCCCCCCTCCCCCCCCCCCCCCCCCAAAAAAAAGAAAGAAAAAGGGGTTCCCGTTTCATAATAGTTTCAAAGTCTCTTGTCATGTATAACTTTATTTTATTTTGAGTAATGAAGGTCACATGGCTCTGAAGGACACACCTAACTCTCGTTTGGATAAGTAAAGGCAGCAGGGCATGGTGCTGACCACATTATCCTATCATATGTCGAAGTCAAGAAATATCTGAACTCTATTTCATCTGCCCAATGTATAGCTAAGTCCAAAGAGGAATTTATTTTTACTATGGGGTTCACGTCATTAAAAATAGGTTTAACTTTCCAAAACAAATAGCTAATAAAGAGTTAATGTGATGATTAATAAGTAATTTTTACTAAGAAAATGCTACAGTTGCGAGAACAGTGCTTTGCCTAGCGGTAGAGAGCTAGGCTGCTAACCCACAATTCTCGAGTTCTAATCCGGGGTTAGTCAGTAGGACGTCCCTGAATAAGTCTGATGGGTACCTTGCTCACGGTAGGGAGAGTAAAAGCGGTAGATGAACTCAACTTCACTTGCCCCATAGACCGTCAGGTTAGAAAAGGGGAACCTTTACAGTTGAGAGAGTTGAGATATCTTATGAAAATACTGTCCACGAATAAGAGGGGTAAAAAAATAACGTTTTCGTGGAAATCATTTAGGTGCCTATAGTTTAATATGTATCGGTATCTTATGTTTACTAATACATCGTAACGGGAATGTTCGCGTTGTTGGCGGAAGATTTTCGCTACATGCATTTTTTCTGTATTTACCTCTACAGCACCTAGATTTTAAATCTTTGTTTAAATACAACGAAAAAGAAATACAACATCAGCAAAAAAACATGGTAAAAGATATATAGTTTTACCAACGTAATCAATATAATTTTCTAGGTTCGGTTATATCTCATTTATTTACTTGCATCAAGATTTTCATTTACATCCCCCCCCCCGCCCTACCTTTGTGACGCCACTGACCTACTCTATTTAAAGAATCGGCTGACTGTTTTTCCGTGACCTACTGTTTTTCCGTGACCTACTGTTTTTCAGTAGCCTACTGTCTTTCCGTGACCTACTATTTTTCCGTGACCTACTGTAACAAAAGTGACTTACTGTAACAAAAACTCGCGTGACGGCCAGCAGAAGGCAGACGGCGATGACGGAGCTCATGATGATGAGGGTGAGGGTGTGGATGAAAAACTCGCTCAGTACCACCATGGTTTTCGTCAACGGCCGCGCCGACTGCACAAGGTGTCCTTAAAAAAGGTGTCTGAAAAGGTGTTTGCTGGATAAAAATAATATTCCTTTTATTAATTAGTACATCTTTTATCAGATTTTGAGTAAGTAGATCAGTTATTTTAACGCTAGAAGGGCAGGACAGTGCTTGTGAAGGATAAATAAAAGGCATCCACTGGCCTAACGCACTCTCTAATGATAGACTTCTAGAAGAAATGGAAATGGAAGCAGTTTCCGAAAGATGGCGCTGGATGGGGCACGTCTTAAGATGGAGTCAAGATGATATCGCAGGAATGGCGCTAAACTGGACGCCTCAAGGAAAAAGAAAATATGGAAGGCCAAGGGAGACGTGGAGGCGCAGGGCGGGGAAGCAGCTGGCAGAGACAGGACTGTCATGGGGGACTGCCAGGAAAATTACCGGAGACTGACAAAAGTGGAGGGAGCTTTTTGTTGCGGCCCCATATGTCTTGAGTACAAAAGTGAAAAGATGAGATGATGTGGACATGACAGTATGATAACGAACTATTTTTTTTTATTCTGCTGATAGTTGTGCAAGCCATGGCCCTTCAGAAATTACTACACTCGTTTTGCGTCTTGATTTTCAAATATCATAAAACGCAGCCATCCAATTATATTTCTAGACAAAGGAGCTAATGATATGGCTGATCTAGAGAGAAAAATATTTTTTTATGATACAAGAAAAGAATGCCGTTATTAAAATATGGACTGTACACTTGATTCAACTTCTCTAGAACCTAAGCTGTAGTTTCCGCTTCTCAAAGTACGGAAACCACTGGGGTAGAGATACAATCACATGGTAGAGTTACCATCAAATATCACAAAGATTAATGTTATAAATATTAATATTGATTAATAAATAAAATTATAATTACCCTGCAACTAGTATCAAATGTGTGAAACCGGTGTGGTCGGATGGTAGAGCGTACGATTGCTAACCTGAAAAGTCTCGAGTTCGGATCCCGTGCTCGAGTCCGTAGAACATCCCTGAGTCCACCCAGCTGTGATGGGTACCTGACTCAGGTTGGGGAACGTAAAGGCGGCTGGGCACAGTTTCGACAACAATATCCCTTCATATGGCTCTACTTCATCTGCCCAGGTTCCAAAGGGTAACTAAGTCTTAAGTTTAGCAGATGAAGTATTAGATCCATATTGTCTAGATCTAGTGTCCATAGTGCTATCGTCTCATCTTTTATAATTGTTATTGATCTATTCAAGATCTTGTATTAGATCTATAATCATAAAGGTAAATTTAAAGGGATCTAAATGTAGCGATGGCTAATTAAAAAGCACCTAACGAAGTATAAATCTACAATCTAGTTATCTAAAACATAACCCTTTGGTAGTTCTAAAAATACAGACATTAGAACTCTAAACTTACAAACAAACAAAAATGGTGGGCAAAGGCTTGTATGGTAAGTTTTTTAATATATATATATATACCACCAGCCACACCAACTTATCTGTCTGCTTACTAAGTTGTGTTCAATGACTTGGATTTTTTTGTGTCAATCGGGAATATCCGCAGGGGTGCGAAAATAAAATAAACGGGAGACAAAATGGATTTCGCGAAAAGAAGAACACATTAAAAATAAACCGGTAGTGATCTCCCCTAAACTTTCTCGAATATTCTTATATAAAACAACAGGGGATGGTAACTGGGGATATAGTTATGATCTTTAATCCATTTTAAATACTGAAACTTTTAAAAATAGAATAGAATCTCAGTAAAAAACAATTGCGCACCAAGCGAACGCCTAATAAAGGTGTGTATAATAGTGCGCAATAGTATTAGTACTTTATAAATTTACATTAGTTTTTTGAGAAATCGGAAGTAGCGTAAAGTACTACTTCCGGTCAACGGAAATTACTCAAAATTTAACAGAAGGTAGAGAATTAGATCTTTTACTTACATGTGAAATTTCATTTATCTATCTGAAATAGTACTCAAGTTATAGGCTTTTGAAAAATTCAAAGTAGAAAAAGTACCACTTCCGGTTATCCGAAATCGCTCAAAAGTTGATACGGATCTACGATTTTGATATAATACTTGTATATGAAATTTCATCAACCTAGCTGTAACGGTACTCAAGTTATCGTGTTTACACACGGACACACACACACACACACACACACACACACAGACACACAGACATACGGACAAGATTGCAAAATTATGTTTTTCCGTATCAGTGAGATGTAAAACGTCGAGATTTGCAAAAATCTCGATTTTTTTTTTTTGCACGATTACAAGACTTTCTCTATACTTCGTATATACGAGAAAGTAAAAACACTGTTATATTAGACAGCTTTGCATCACATAACCCTATTATATTACACGATATAACAAAATGAAGAACCAGGGGCGTAGCGAGGGGGGGGGGGCGGGGGGTGCGGACCGCACCGGGTGACACCATTTAGGGGGTTGACACCAAGGCAAAAAATAGCAAAATATATAGAGATAAACTTGAGGGGAGGTGCAAATCGAAAACTTGAGGGGGGGGGGGGGGTGCAAATCGAAAGTTTGAGGGGGGGGTGCAAATCGAAAACTTGAAAGTTTGTCCCCGGTAAGGGTCGCAACGCCTCGGGGGGGGGGGGGGGTGAAACCATTAAGTGCTGCACCGGGTGACACCCGACCTCGCTACGCCTCTGTGAAGAACTACCACTAACCTAAGGTGGTATATGATAGATCTATATCCGCCATCCCTAGCTAGGGCTTTTGGGTCAATTATACCTTCCGTTTGCTTGCTCTATTTACTTTTTTTTTAAACAAAGAAGCACTATTTTAAAACACCCATATACACGCACGTACGCACGCACGCACGCACGCATATATATATATATATATATATATATATATATATATATATATATATATATATATATATGTTGGCTGGTACCAAATTGTTGATTCTTAAGTAAGCATGTTGGCTGGTATTATATTGTTTATTTTTAAGTAAAATGGTAACTTGGGTTCTTATTAAAGGGGCTAAGGTGACTAGGACTAGTTACAGAAACCCAAGGGTTTAATCTAAGATATTGGGGAGGAGCAGGCTAGGGAAATCTAAAATTTAATTAAATGTTATCGGCTCACTCTTGTCGTTAAGAGCTACGAGCTCTATGCAGGTGCATGAGTGACACGTAATGCTGGGAAGACACCCGCGGTGATTTATGTCTAAAGTTGAGTTCGGACATGCCGCTGGACGACTCGATAGAATCATTACTCATGATCTCTGTTGTGGTCAGTTGTCAGGTGTGAAACGCGGCGGGAGTACCGCGTAGTCGTGCGTTAGCTCGAGCGGTGTATGACACGATCGTTAGCCCTGAGACAACGTGAAGATCTATAGCGGTCAATTATCGGGTGTGCAACGCATGGGTACATAGTGACCGGTGTTATCTCGAACGTCGAGAGATGGGACGGAGCCCAACTCGGGTTCTATAGCTCTAGGGAGATGATAAGGGGGTGAGACTAACCTATATATGAGGAAGGGCGACTATGTTGAGGTCTCTTTCTCTGACAGACACATAGGCTAGACACGATGGTCTAGGCCTCGGATGGTGGCAGCCTTATGGCTGGCCACTAAGGCTGGATTATTGGCCCAGCCGATGTTTTGTTGCTGTACATATGTGTTTCGTTCCAGATGTTTACATGTGTGACCTGGTGTTTATACATGTGGCCAATGTTGTACCAGTGGCCAAACGTTTGCCGTGTAGATATGTTCTTCGTTCTAGTGGCCATTATCTTTGTGGCCCGATGTTTGTACCAGTGGCCAAATGTTTTATTCCAGTGGCTGGAAATCTCCCTGCAGCTTGAGTGTCGAGCTAGATTGTTGTGAGTACTGATGAGTATTCATAGATGGACTTTAACCGTGTTTGATTAGTGAAATCAGAATTAGCGATGATAACATTTACCCGTGTGATCCTGGGATTACATAACAGTGCAAGTAGTAAAGTTAGAACTAGAGACGATGATATTTACGTTTTTGATTTTGAGATTACATAGCAGTACAAGTGAAATTAGGACTAGGAAGAATAACTTTGACAAGTGTGATTCTGAGATTACATAAGCAGTGCAAGTAGTTAAGTTAGGACTAGAGGAAAGGACATTCATATGTATAAATTCTGAGTTGTGTAAATGTAGGTTTGCTATCCACACTTATATATGTGTTTTCTATGAATTAATGTCAGTAACTACGGTGAATAATTCTGCATTGAAATGTAAGTTTGATTATTTTTGTCTTTTTGACTAGTATTAGAAATTCAAGTGATGTTTTCTTGAATATAAAAGACTGGCCAGGTCTTATTTGTATTGTGTCTTTGCTTTTAACATATAAACCTTTGTGACGTCAAACAAAGATAAATAAATGCATATTATGTGTGTTTACTATGTTTTATTTTTAGTTTAATATTGGTGTTATTTAGATTTTAATTAGTTTTGCTCAGGTCTTATTAGACCCCTTTGTCACCACGCAAAGGTGCACGGATGAGTGAATAAGATCACCTCATCGGTTTAAACCCCCCTAACATTTGGTGTCAGAAGTGGGATATAAGATTTCTATTTCTCGAAGAACCCCTAACATTTGGTAGCAACGAGTGGGATCCGTGCTTGAGCAAACTAAATTAAGATTTTTTTAAAAATTGGTTTTTAAATATGTTGAGCATTTGTTGTTGGTTTACCTCAGCATAATTTTTCTATATTATTGCCTTTTTTATTTGCATTGTAAACTTTTGGGACGTGTAATATACGTTTCATTTACTGTAAGAATTTTTTTGTGCGATTGCTTTTACTTTTGTGTGTTCCTGATGAACACATTGTGCTAATGTAACACATTTTATTAGCACTGACGGAATTATTTTTAGACCATTTTTTATAAGAAGTTGGGTAGCCAGTTGACATGCAACCTTTGTAATTTTTAATGGTGTTGACCGTATAATTGGCAACTATGGTATTCGTTGAATAGTAAATATTGTAGATGAAACATGCTGTTACGTAATTTTATGACTGGGAAGACTTGGCTGATATTGGTACTGGACGTACATTATCAGGCCTTGTGGTATAAAATTATGTGTGACTGACGAGTATTTATCTTTACTGATGGCCATTTATTTGTAGTCGAAAGGCGTGATTTGTCCATTTTGGTTAACTACCCTTTAAAGATAAGTACGTGTTTATACCTGGTTTCAGTAGATGTTCATTTTTGAGACATTTTAGTATGCTCATTGATGTTTTTGCCTTCAGTGGCCTTTACTGTAAATTAGTGGTATGTGTTGTGTTAGTAGGTGAACAGTAAAGTAGAATGTTTATCTCAATTAGTTGCCATTGTTAAGTTGATTGCGGGGACGCAATCATTTTTGCGGGGGAAGCATGTTGGCTGGTACCAAATTGTTGATTCTTAAGTAAGCATGTTGGCTGGTACTATATTGTTTATTTTTAAGTAAAATGGTAACTTGGGTTCTTATTAAAGGGGCTAAGGTGACTAGGACTAGTTACAGAAACCCAAGGGTTTAATCTAAGATATTGGGGAGGAGCAGGCTAGGGAAATCTAAAATTTAATTAAATGTTATCGGCTCACTCTTGTCGTTAAGAGCTACGAGCTCTATGCAGGTGCATGAGTGACACGTAATGCTGGGAAGACACCCGCGGTGATTTATGTCTAAAGTTGAGTTCGGACATGCCGCTGGACGACTCGGTAGAATCATTACTCATGATCTCTGTTGTGGTCAGTTGTCAGGTGTGAAACGCGGCGGGAGTACCGCGTAGTCGTGCGTTAGCTCGAGCGGTGTATGACACGATCGTTAGCCCTGAGACAACGTGAAGATCTATAGCGGTCAATTATCGGGTGTGCAACGCATGGGTACATAGTGACCGGTGTTATCTCGAACGTCGAGAGATGGGACGGAGCCCAACTCGGGTTCTATAGCTCTAGGGAGATGATAAGGGGGTGAGACTAACCTATATATGAGGAAGGGCGACTATGTTGAGGTCTCTTTCTCTGACAGACACATAGGCTAGACACGATGGTCTAGGCCTCGGATGGTGGCAGCCTTATGGCTGGCCACTAAGGCTGGATTATTGGCCCAGCCGATGTTTTGTTGCTGTACATATGTGTTTCGTTCCAGATGTTTACATGTGTGACCTGGTGTTTATACATGTGGCCAATGTTGTACCAGTGGCCAAACGTTTGCCGTGTAGATATGTTCTTCGTTCTAGTGGCCATTATCTTTGTGGCCCGATGTTTGTACCAGTGGCCCAATGTTGTATTCCAGTGGCTGGAAATCTCCCTGCAGCTTGAGTGTCGAGCTAGATTGTTGTGAGTACTGATGAGTATTCATAGATGGACTTTAACCGTGTTTGATTAGTGAAATCAGAATTAGCGATGATAACATTTACCCGTGTGATCCTGGGATTACATAACAGTGCAAGTAGTAAAGTTAGAACTAGAG